TATATAGCTAGCAAAAATTCTATACTAATAAAAGAAGTAGGATAATCTATTTCTTACACTATCTCTATTTTACTAGCCGCTTCTATATTTATAGCTAAATATAGTATCTTTTTTTATACCTACTTTTCTATCTATTTTAGAATCTTCTTATTCTATAATAACTATAAAATTACTATTACTAGTAACTTCTTATTATTATCTACTTTTTTTTAATATTTATTGCGTATATAATCTAAGGACTTTTAGGATATATTTATATATATATACTCTAACTAAGTGTACTTAGTATATTTTAGATAAGAATTAAATATAATATAATAGATTTTACTTTTAAAAAAGTAATAGTTATAAAGCGTTTTAGAAAAATAGTTAGCTTATATAATTTTAGAGCTAAGGCGTAAGTAATATTAAGTAGAAGAAAATATAATAATTACTTTACTTATAACGTAGAGTAAGCTTTAATTAATAATAGAAACTATAAATTAGTTATATAATTTAAGGATAAATTCCTATAAAAAGAGAATAGTATTATAATCTATACTTAGAAGAAAATAGAAGTAAGTATAATTACTTTAGAGGATTAAGTAGTATAGTTAAAGAATTATAGTATAGTAACTACGCTGTAGTTACGTAACTGCTTAGTAATAAGTATTACGCGCTAGTCTAGAAAGAAATACTTAGTAGTAAGTAAGACTAGTTAGCTAATAACTAAACTAGTACTATATCGCTTAGTAATAAGCACTTACACGCTTAGTACTAAGTGTAACACTTATTAGTATATAGCTTAGACACTAAACTCTTATAGCTTAGTATATTTAACTTAACTTTATATAAGACTCTAGTATTTAATCTAAAGATTATACTTCGTTCTTATACAACCTTTATAATATTATATTAATCTACTAATTATGCTATTATACTAACCTGTCTATCGCAGCCTACTCTATCTCTAAGAACTAACTCTTAGGTTATCTAAAGATAACCTTTATAACACCTTACTAATCTTAGAATTTTAGAGAGGCTTAACTTTTTTCTATATAGTTAATATTAATAAGTAGCTAATTTAAGTTGCTATTTTAGTACTTATTTATATAATAACTTTTCTTTTAGCACTTATAGTAGGTAATTATATATTTATCTTTTAGTTTACTCTATTAGCTTAGTTAAAAAATAAAAAGGCTTTACTTTTATTTCTCTTAAAGTGCAGCTTAGAAGTAATATTTATATATAGTAAGTACTTTTTATAAATTTTTTTTAAGTGTAGAAGCTAACGCTATTAAGTTTTTATAAGTTACTAAAATTTAGTAATAATTAGTAGTTAATTACTAAAGTTTAGGTCTTAATTTTATAAATAAGTATTAAACTCTTTATACTTTAGTATAAGAAGTTAACTAGTTCTCTAAAACTTCCAAGTATATAGTAAAAGATTTAATAGTTTAGTCTTTTTACTAAAGAGCTTAGCTATACGCTATAACTACTTTAAGGCTATAGTTTATAAAGTCTATAAGTAAGTTAAGTAAGTACTACTTATAGTATTTCTAAGTAGAGATTTATTTATATACTTTAAAGCTATATTTAAAATATATATACTAAAGCTCTTTTAGATTACTATTAAGGTATTATATTAACTATATTACTTTATTCTTATTTTTCTTTAGCTTCTTAAGTAGTAAGTAAAAAGCTATTTTATAAAAGTAAATAAATTCTTAATATTCTTAAATATTCTTACCTTAGTATACTAATAGATTTTTTAGTTTTAGTATACGCTTAGTATATACTACGTTAGGTGCTATAGTAACGTTAATTATACGCCTCTCTTAAGAGTAGAGATCTAATAAGTTATTTAATACGCTTATATTCCTATTCTATTCTAATTCTTCTAGCTAGAGGATTTCTTTCTCTAGCTAATATAATTAGTTTTATTATTATTATAAATTTAGGAGTTTATCTTATTATATCTATACTACTTAGATGCGCTTCTTAATTAATAGAGTTATATTTTACTTATAAAGTATTAGCTTAGCGCTTAAAGTATATAATAGAAGAATTAGGTTTAGATTTTTACTTTAAGAGTAGGCTTATTACCCTATTTATATAAAAGAAGTTATCTCTAGACTATTAGCTATAGAAGAAGAATTATTATATAAAATATAATTATAGGTAATAGTATTTACTTTATATTACTAAGAATAAAGAGAGATAGCTTATATATTCTAACTATAGGTCTAGGTAGTAAGAAGAATAATTCTTACTCTTTTTTATAGAGCGAAGCGCACTTTATAAGCAGGTTTAGCGCGTGCTTAGCTTTTTAGCTAGGTATACGCCTTAAGTCTTTGTTATAAAAAAAGATAAAATAAACTCTACTTATAATAGCAAAAACTCTAGTATTCTAGTAGATAAGTTATTAGAGCTACTAGCACCTTTAGAGGATATTATAGATAATATAATTCTTAATAAAAATATAGAAAAGAATACTAAGCTTAAGCTAGAAGAACTTTTACTTAGTATATAGTATTTTTTATAGTAAAAACGTTAGTAACTCTCTTATTATAGTACTAATATACTCTACTAGACTATTTTAGACGTATTTAAATTGTTCTTTATATAATACTCTATAATATTATAATAAATTACTATAATAACTTAATATATATATAGAGATACTAACTTTATATTTAAATAACCTACTTTAAACGCGCTAAAATATCTCTATATAACTCTAACTCTAACTTTAACTTAGCGTATAGTAGCTCTAACCTAGCTCTAACTCTACGTAGTCTTAACTCTAACTCTAACTCTTAACCTATCTCTAGGTGCTCTAGCCTAGCTCTAAACTATTAGCTTTTAGCCCCTAACCTAACCCTAACCTAGCTAGGGTTAACCTAACCTATTTGCTAGCGTAACTATACTTAACCCTAACCTACGCTTAAACTACTTTAGCCTAACTCTAACCTACGCTAAGGTATACTCTAACCTAACCTTAACCTATTTATAGGAAGAAAAATATATATTATAGTTTAGGTTAGGTTAGGGTCTTATAAATTAGACCTAACCCTAACCTAACCTATACCCATTTACTAGTGTAAGGCGAATCGTGAGGATCCACATCCAAGCTGGTGATATAGGGTTCGGTTCTATCGTCAAACGTCGACAGCCTAACAGCATACGCTACAGATGATGCATAAACGAGTGTTGCGCTGAAGCGGTGCAAGAAAAGCCCCATGGTAACCATCGAGGAAGCAGTAAAGGAGAGAAATAACGAGTGACTGAGCCAATATTGGCCGATGGTTTCTGAATTGACTCGCTGTTAGTCAATGTATATATAGGAAAGAAGGGGCATATGAGATGCAAAGGTACTTTCGAACATCCACCACAATGCCTTGGAATGGTGCTACCATCCTGCATGGTAGCATGGTGTGGGCCGCTGTACATGGTGTGTTTGTTCCTGGACATCCGGTCATGGCTCCAACGATAGTAATCTTCTTGCATGGTCAACATATCTACCGAATATGTCCCTTGCAGCATATACAGGGGCTTGCATCTTGTTAAATACGCGGTCTTCGGGCTAGCAATCTGTACCTGCAGCTCATCCTTGCGATACGCTCTAGTGGCCGAGGCGCTATTCCTGTGGCGTGAAGTGAGCGCTAGAAAAAGCTGTCTCTAAACCGCTTAAGCACATGTACCCGCTGAAACTCAAGTCCAAGCAAAGCGAGTCGATCCTTTTCTTTGCGAAGCACCGGTGCCTTATCCCGATGAGGAAGCTGTTGCATCCATTCGAACACATGGCCTAGCATACTTACTACCTAGGTAGCAATAATCACTTCATAGAATATCCGGCTTGATAGTATCGTCGCCGTCAGTGTGTTAGCCGCCGCTCGGATCCCAGAACGTGGAAACGCTGGAGGCTAAGCCGAGGCTTCTGGACATGACGCACATGAATTGAGATATTAGCTACTGTAAAAGAAGTGGAACGCATGAAAGGTTTTGTTGACGCACAGAACAGTAGCATACGTTGGCTTCCATTGCCGTTGAACACATCGAAGGCTCCAAGCGTCAAACTTGCTATAAAGTGCGGACCGATAAGAGCGCGACACATCATCGACTGTAAACAGGAAACAGGAAGCTGACAAAGTAGTGGACATCAGCACGTGCATTGTGGATGAGAGATCGCCGACAGTTGAGGAGCGAAACCCTGTGCATACCAAGGCTTAACATTATATGCACGGTCCAGACTTCGTCCTGCACTGCGGCACGGCTCGGTCGCCAAGACGGACTGCTGCAAAACAGATCGTCTGGATCCTCTTTCCGTGACCCTTTAGTGCTTCGTGTATAACCAAGCCGGCGGCATGGCGAGATTCGATCTCGATGATGTGTCTTATTCGGTCGTTGCGGAAGCGTCCTTGATGCGTTGTGATACCTAGGGCAGGCAGCTCAGCGCTTGCTGCGCCTATGGATGCTCGATTGCGGCTATTCCAGCCCCACCTGATCCCGACATCTCAATTTGTAGGCTAACCATTCCTACCAACACCGAACTGCTAGCTCCGTAAGACCAGGCCGTATCTAATGAACGCCTCAAAGGATTCTTATTAAGTTTGATACGAGCGGTATAGAGCAAATACCGCTTCTTCCTTCGCACAATTTTTCTGCGAGATTGTTATTGCACCTAGAAATTGTATTGCTCCCTGTTCAGGTCGTCCTACGCCCACTCCTTTTCCACGGAAAGAAGAATGCCTACTGTAAGCGAGATCACCTACTCGCGCGATGCGGCAGTCCAGGCCTTTCGCGACTATTTTCGATTCTTATCAGCTATGTACGCGGACGAATCTGACGTCGCGGAGCCTCCCGAGGATGGGTGGGCTACAATCAATCCGAACGGCTGGCCCAATTTCGACAAGACAGACAAGGTGATCGACCTCCTTCGTCATTTACCCTACATAAGCGCGGAAACCAATATCGCGCCTGACTGCGAGTTTGTGGATTGGCATACAAACCGTGCGGATATGGATGGTGAAGATCTCAGAGAAGCGACCGAGCCGGATCCGGACGAAGCAAAGATACCATCTCACATCGTGGGTCTCACGCCGCAAAGCACGAGAGGCCTGACTTTCCTACTTGATACAGAGCTCGGTGTCATGTACTGGCGTGAGTGCATGAGAGAAGCCAAAGTTGAGATTCCAGAAGTTGAAGATGACCCTTATGATTGGGTTGACGATGGTCTGATCCCTGAAGATCAGGTCGAATGGCGAGCTGGCAGTGGGATCTGGGAAATTGGGGACTTCTTCGAAATGCTCAAGGCCAATCTCAAAACACTCAACTTCGTGCCCTTTCGCCCTGATATGGTCCAGGCGGCTTGGTATGGACGCACCGCAGAGGATCAGGAAACGCTCGAGGGAGTCCGGAAAATTTACAAAGATCATGGGTGGCCTGACCTAGCACGATACCGCAAGGATGATTGCCTCGCGGCTATTGATGCTTTCTTAAAGACACGCGACTAGGGCACCGACGAAAGACAGTGGGGAATGAGAAGTCGATAGCGTAGTCTGGGCAGTGGCGGCTCGGACTATCTGCTTTTGTAGCTAATCCTTGTTTTATGTAGGTGTACCTGCATAAGTACTATACTTGGCTAATCAAATCTTCGTACCCTGTCCGACATCTCACCAACTGCTCAAGGTATGTGAGCACATGAGTTGTAAGCTGTTAAAACTTCTTCGGCCTCGCAGTTATCCATAGCACCATGCAAACAGCTCTTCTCTTCCTCTCTTCCTCTCCCATTTCAACATGCAACCTTCCCTCTTCCTTCTTGCTGCGGAGGCAGCAAGAGTAGTAGCACTAGCTTCGTCAGAAATATCCATCCTTTTGCCCACCACCACACCATCCGGGCCCCAAGATTCCTGGGAATGTGCCCTCTCAGCCTATACACCCTTCTTCAACCCTCCATTGCCCACTGGCGCTGTAAAGTCAGCTTTGGACTCCTACGGCGACGAGCTGATTGCCGATTGTACTGGACTTGAATGTCCATACCCAGATGCTACGCGTTGGTGCGGGATCACCACTGCTGCACCAACTGCAGTCCTTCCTGCATACACTAGTTATGCCAGTTCTGCTTCGGCATGGTGGGTAAATCACAGTTCCTCTGCCCTTGAGCTTGCCGAGGAGTGTCCACATTATTGGTACAAGGCTTTGACCAAGAAACCGACAGCGGGTACGTGGTTGAACCTGACCATTGCAAATGCAGAGTGTCTTGGCAAGGCGCCTGAAGATGATGCATCATCGATAGGCACGTCTTCAATCCAACCTTCGCTCACCTCGTCGCCGCAATCATCGTCTGCGTTGGTGTCAAGCCCTACGTCCACCACGTCATCATCTGCCGGCATTGCGCTGTCACCGAATGGTACGTAAACCTCATTTGTAGTCCTTGAAAGAAAATTAGGGTGTCGGAATTGACATACTACACAGGCCAATGTGGAGGATTATCTGGGTATCACTGCCCAGGAAGCGGCTTCGGAGACTGGTAAGCAACTTTCTCTCTTTGCTTCATCTCCCAACACAGATACGCACATGACCACTACGCTCTTGATGCGCTTTTATGCGAGTAACTAAGTCTTGTGTCACACATTCAGCTGCTCATCATATGGCTGGTGCGGTAACGACAGTCACTGTGACGCCGGCTGCCAGCTAGGATTCGGCTTCTGCAATGTGCCGACCAAGATCTCACCCGATGGCTCTTGCGGCACAGTCAACAGCAATGACGGGTTTATCTGTCCTGGAAGTGGTTTTGGTGACTGCTGTATGAATCCCTTACTCCCACAATCATCTCTACGTCAATCACCTGGAAAGAAATTTAGCTAATCGTTGTGCTTCGGGCTCGGTCTATGGATGGTGTGGGTCGTCGTCTGGACATTGTGATGGCGGTTGTCAGACAGCGTACGGAATGTGCAATGCTCAAGCAAACGCTCTGACTGTAAGACATGCATGGATGTCGACGGCGCCTATGGCGAGAGTGGTTGCTTCGATGACGACGCTTGCGGCGACGCAGGTAGCTTAGATTGTGATAAAAAAACTTTGTAATATAGTAACTTCGAGCTCTACAAAGAAGCTCGTTATCTTTACTTCTACACCACCTGCCCATGTTGATGTGTCACCTCATCTAAGACGCTAAGCTCGCGTACCTTACAATTGAGTACTTCGTACATTGGCCCCCTTGCAGTGCATCACACCTTCGAAAGCCTTCCCACACTAATGCCACTCCTGAACGAGATGGGTAATCCCGCGACGCTGTTGTCGCAGCGGTTCGCGACTACTACGAGTTTCTAGTGGCCATGTATTTGCCCGAGTCTCAAATCCTTCAGTCCCCCGACGGCGGCTGACCATCGATTACATCCGACACCTGGAGAGACTGCAGTAAATTAGACGAAGTCATCGCGCTACTTCGCCATTGCAGTGACAGTTGCTCGTCGACGTATGGCATGTGTAGCTCTAGCAGTGGCCGTCCACTTAGGTCATCTGTCGCCATAAATACTGGTGTTGTACATTCTCGTGTCGGAGTAGCTGCTCATACCGCTTTGCCAACAACAACGAATTAGCCAGGTAAGGTGGCCTACGGGTAGAGGACTCGGCAGGCTGAGTGGCTCTCAAGAATCTCTATCCGAAAGAAACTATCATCGTAGACTCAGCTATAATATGAACCTATACACACTCACTGAATTTGAACCAAGCGTCTTGATGCTCTCTTATCAATTTGACCGACACCATTATCTTTCTTGTATTTGGATATATTTGTTGTTCTCGAGCGCTAAATATCGTAGTCGATATACAATCACAAATGGATGTATTGGGATTCAGACAGCGTGACTGGGAAGCAGGAGACCGTGAGTCGTGCGCTGTGTATGGCAGAAGATACGTTATCTCTATCCCTCGGGTTGCTCGGACACCAATGCCCCATAACATGGGCCCTCGGACTCTAGTAGCGGTGAGCTTCCACACACCTTAGTACGCGGTGGATACGCTTGAGATTGAAATTTGCTAGTTTGTTGCAAAGAAGTGTATGACTCTGGTGAAATCGGGCCTGTTTCGAGGGATATCGTGTAAGGATCGCGACTTGTGGGTGGCGGACATGGCTACTGGTCCATCAATGAGTAGCTTGGCCCTTTCCTGTAGTTCTCGTTCTCGGTTTAGGTTTAGGTATGGGGGTTGAGCTAGGAATTGGTTGCACCAAATAGTATTTAGGACTTCAACGTTAGCACAAGAACATCATACCGCTTGTCAGACTTTTCGCAACGATAGTCGTCAACTTCCAATTATCAATCCCTCAAGATCTTTCAGCAACTAGAAGAGGGGCCTACATCCGTCATGGCATCGTCTCATTCCACTCGCAATGTAGTCGTCGTCATCGGCACAGGTAGGATGGGTCTCGCAGTCACACCGCGACTGGCTCCCGGAAAGCACGTTCTTCTAGCCGACTTTCAGGAAACGACATTGAACAATGCCCTTTCCACGCTTCGGGAAGAAGGCATTAGCTGTGAAGGTCATTCAGTAAACATCGCCCACTACCCATCCGTCGAGGCCTTTGCACATGCTGCTCATTCTGCGAGCCGTATCAACGCTATTATTCATACGGCAGGCCTGTCTCTCGGAAGTGCCAGTGCCAAAGGGATCTATGCCGTGGACTTGATCGGTACTGCCAATATCATCGAGGCTTCTTGTCTGTTGCGTCCGAGGGAACCTCCTTGGTTTGCATTGCTAGTATGGCCGGCCATATCATCACTCTTTTCCCTAGTCTGGAGTGCCACCTTGCTACCGCACCTCTCACGCGACTTTTGGATCATGAAGGACTGAACATGGAATCCTTGGATGGCAATGTTGCATACACCGTTTCCAGGTGGGCTAATATTCTGAGAGTACAAGGTGCTGCAGAAGCTTGGGGTAGTCGACAAGCCCGATTAAATAGCATCAACCCTGGAGTCATTGCAACTCCGCAACTTCTCTCGCAACTGGATGGACCCCTTGGTGTAGGCCCAAAGACTATGGTTGGGGTTTCGGCTTTGCGACGTATGGGTACCCCGGATGGAATCGCGAACATCGCAGTCTTTTTGGCTGGAGCCGAGTCTCCGTATGTCACGGGAACGGAGACCCATATGGATGGTGGAACGCTGTCGGCACGGAAGTGGTCAAAATCGGACTAGTCGACTACCAGTGACGTGAAGATGGGATTCATAGAAGACTCCAGTCATATTGGATATCCTCGACTTCTCAACTCAGCTATCCTAAGCGCCTTGTGAAGGTGTTGAACGTCGTCGGACGGCTGATGTCGGAAGCACGGGTGCAAGACACCAAGACTGGCCTTGGCGTCTTCAGCCTCAACCCGCGGCAAGTCTGACGCACGACGCACGACCCTCGGACCCACATGACTCCGCCAAACAAGACGGCCAGGGTTCAATAGCAACCATGTCCAACATCCTGCCTCTGCACCACGCGTACTACCCCTCGCGCCAGTCGTCGCTCTCGAAACCAGTCAACCCCGTACAGGCAGCCTCCACGTCCTCGTCTGCAGCCACGATCCGCCCACAGTCCAACGTACAATCGCAACCACAAGCGCAGCACACAGCAATGAGCGGGAACGCAAGCCAAGGGCCTGGGCTGCGGTATCCTTCGAACAAGAAGAGCATATACGATAGGAACCTGAATCGTAGCAAAAATGCCGAACTGAGTAGAGCAGCGTTTGCATACCTCTTCATTGAGATGATTGCATATGCGCAAAAGGGCGCAAAGGATGTGGGGGACTTGGAGCAGAGGTAGGCAGAAAGAACCGAATCGCGATGCCTCACATGTGTCCTAACAAACATATAGACTAAACACCCAAGGCTACCCCATTGGCCTCCGTCTACTTGACCTCCTCCTATCCCGCACTGCCAACCCCCTCGCTAGTATCCGACCCACACGTATCCTGCCTCTGCTGCAATTTATCGCACAGCAACTATACCGCTACCTCTTCGGTCGCCCCGCTGACGCGTTAGAAAAGTCTGGTACCGATCCCGGGCAGTACATGCTCTTCGATAACGACCCTATGGTCAACCAATACATAAGCTTGCCCAAGGAACTGTCAAGTCTGAATTGTGCGGCCTTTGTGGCGGGCATAATTGAGGGCGTGTGCGACGGCGCAGGCTTCCCAACCGAAGGTGTAACCGCGCATAGTGTAGGCGACGAAGAAGGCAAGGATGGAAAGGGATTGTGGCCGGGGAAGACGGTCTTTTTGATTAAATTCAAGCCTGAAGTACTGGAAAGGGAAGAGATACTTGGCAGAGGTGGGGGCTGAGTTCTGCGGAGGACAGTGTATTCTTCTTGAGTGCAGCTAGGTTCTTGCTGCACACAATGACATAGCGAGGCGTTGCGGATCTTTCTTAGGATTTCAGGTGGCTACAAAAACCAGCATGTTCACCATTGCGCTGCCACTTATTCACAAGACCGCCAGGTCAGTCTGGTTCGAGCCTCCACTGCCGAATCGTTGATCAATGCTTTGTTGAAATGAGCACAGTTGCCAGATACCGTATGCAACCATGCGTAGCTTCGTTGCTCATCGTGTTGCTATCACCGACTACCAGATGCATCAAGCGCGCTGCCACGTGACTGTAAAGCTGATGACAAATGCTGATTGGCGAGACCATTCACCTTATGACCGAGCTTCAGCACATGGTAGTTTACCAAAATAGAACCTTCTACAACATTGCGGCATCCCACCGACAAGCAAATACAAAATTGCAGTCTGATCCTTACAACAACCGCAACATAAAAGCCCAACTATTGACTATACGACATATCGAGACACCACACCCAAACGCATACAGCATACATTACAAACACGCCATATCTACAAACAGTACCAATCCCAATCATGCCAACAGAAATTTCTGCACCGCTGCACTTCCGCACCCTGCTAAATGGACACGCCTACATGATCGCAGACTTCTACGCGACATGGTGCCCACCTTGCAAGCAAATCGCACCCATCTACAACCAACTGTCCACTGCGCATGCCTCGCCAGGGAAGTTCGCCTTTGTCAAAGTCAACGTGGACGAGCAGAGGGAAATTGCCGGACAATACGGTGTCACAGCTATGCCAACTTTTATGGTTTTCAAAGATGGGAAGAAAATCGAAGAGATAAGAGGCGCGGACGTAAGGGCTCTGAAGGGCGCAGTGGAGAAAGTTGCTGCGGATTTGGGGAAGGCGAAAGACGCAAAGGTGGAGAAAAAGCCGGAAGTCAAAGAAGAAAGGAAAGAAGAGGATGAGAAGACGGTTAGTGGGAGCTATGGCATGACTGGGGGCAACAATTGGAAAATGTCGTTGCACTAGCTTTTGAAGATTGGTAGGAGGTGATAGGATCGTCACATGCAGATTGAGACGATGGATTTGTGATACCCAGGAATGATAATGCATACAATACCTTGTCGCAGACAATCAAGCCCGTGGTGAACGAAGTGATTAGTATACATGACCAATGTTAAACGTACGTCATTCTCAATTGCTGTGGTGTGTTGGATTTGTAACGCCCTCAGACGCGTAACAGAGGACACCTTTCACACTAAGCGATCGCCACCGCGCGGGACCCTGATAGCCGCTGTGCTGCTCTAGCTCCCCACCAGAATTCCCACCGCTCCTCAACACACAACTGGAGCCTCAATTCATCGTTGAGCTTCACAAACTTCCAAGATGCTTTTCTCCAAATTAATACCTGCGGCTATTGCGCTGCTACCCGCAATCGCCTCGGCATCATCCGTCATCGACCTCACGCCCTCCAACTTCGACGATGTCGTCCTTAAGTCCGGCAAGCCCGCTCTCGTAGAGTTCTTCGCTCCCTGGTGCGGCCACTGCAAGAACCTCGCCCCCGTTTACGAAGAGCTTGCTACCGTCTTCCAGCACGCTGGAGACAAGGTCAGCGTTGCCAAGGTCGATGCGGACCAACACAAGTCGCTGGGTAAGCGCTTCGGTGTCTCGGGCTTCCCTACCCTCAAGTGGTTTGACGGAAAGAGCGACAAGCCTACCGACTACAGCGGAGGACGTGATCTCGAGAGCTTGAGCAAGTTCATCACAGAGAAGAGCTCCGTGAAGCCCAAGGTCAAGGGCAAGCTACCCAGTCAGGTTGTCTACTTGGATGACAAGACCTTCAAGGAGAAGGTTGGAAAGGACCAGGATGTGCTCGTTGCCTTCACCGCCCCATGGTGCGGACGTATGTTTTCTCCCCAGCTCTGCTCTGCGGATGGATTGCGGCTAACACCTGAATAGACTGCAAGACTCTCGCCCCCGTCTGGGAAACTCTCGCCAATGACTTCGTCACCGAACCCAATGTCTTGATTGCCAAGGTTGATGCCGAAGCTGAGAACTCCAAGGCCCTCGCTCAGGAGCAGGGCGTTTCATCCTACCCTACCATCAAGTACTTCCCCAAGGGCTCCACCGAGCCTCTCCCATACAATGGCGCCCGCGCTGAGAAGGACTTCATCGACTTCATCAACGCCAACGCCGGTACCCACCGTGCCGTGGGTGGTGGTCTTGATGCCACTGGTGGCACCATCGAGGCCTTCAACAGCGTCATTGAGAAGTTTCAGGGCAAGTGGACTGATGGTGCTGAGGAGGCCAAGAGCCTCGCTGCCACTCTCCAGGATAAGTACGCCGAGTACTACGTCAAAGTCTTCAACAAGATCGGTGCCAACCAGGGATACGCTGCAAAGGAGCTCAAGCGCCTGCAGGGTCTCATTGGCAAGGGCAACCTAGCGCCTGAGAAGATGGACGACTTGATGAGCAGGAGCAACATCCTGAGGAAGTTCATCGGCGACGATGCAGAGGAGAAGCAGGAGTTGTAGACAGCTCGCACGTGGACTGATGATTGCGGTTGACGGCATTTAAAACACCAGCACTATTGATACGATATGATGAGGTAGGGATATCAGCATGTATGGAGCAAGAGTGACATACGTGATCACGACAATGAGGAGAAGGCGAGATGAGTAGGTTAGAACCAAAAGTCAATACCCAAATTGCAATTAATGCGATCTATGTAGACTATTACCAAACGCCATCATTTTCGTCGTGCAGCCTACACCACCTTGTTTAATCAAATCAGTGTACGTTCATTCACGTGACCTCTACTTTCCAGGTCCTGAACCCTTGTTACCATCTCCAGCCTGAATAGTTGCTTCAAGGTTGTCCAGCCGCCGTGACATGTCGTCCACTACCCATCATCAGTATCTTGGCTATTCTGCACAGATGTGCTCTTGCTTACTCTTAGCAAGTAGCTCGCTGCTGACGGCGGTAAACTTGGTGTTGAGTTGGTTCAAGAGCTCGTCAACAACAGCTGTGAGCTCGCCAGAACTCTCTTGGTTGGTTGATACAGCTGACTGTTTTTGTGTCAGGGAGAGCGGGGCATTGCCGTAAGTGTAGCACGTACCGCGGTGTCGCTTTGCGCGCGATCTGCCAGCGGTTGAGGCGTTGCCATGTCGGAATGTGTTTAGGAAGAAGATGGAAACGAGTCCACGTGGCTGATGCTTCGTAGACAAGTCGAGCAGTTTTGAAGGCGACTGTCGAATCTAGTTTTGTATCTTGTGGAGGACATGCACATGTACGGTGAACAGGTGAACACTAGGTTGATGGGGTCGCACGGAAGCACGTGGTCTTCGCCGCGGCTTCTTGCCCGTTTCGGAGGCGGTCAAGCTAGCGTGCGCGCTAAAATGTTTCTGCGCCCAGAGTTCGCAGTTTACGAATTATTTTCTGGGAAGCTTTGACGTTGGATCTTCTGCGCCGCCAAAGATTCAAACACCTTTCACAACGACCTGAGAAATCAAGCGAAATGGCGAAAAGCAAGCTCAAGGCCGCGCTCGACAACTACCAGGGCCGGAACATCAAGCTCGAGAAGCAGCGCAAGCACGAGAAGCAGGCGCACAAGCAGAAGGAAAAGCGACAAGCCGAGAAAGCAGAGGAGAATGGCGAGGAGGATGCTGAGGAGGGAGGCGTGCCTGTGCCCCTAGATGAGGTAGAGGTCAAGGTCAATGGCAAGACGAAAAAGTCGAAGAAGGACAAGAAGACCGACGCAAAGCCTGCAAAGGCTGCGCCAGCAGTCAAGGAGCCTGAATGGGAGACGGATGAGGAAGACGATGACGACGCGAGTGAAGACGATGATGCGCCCGAGCGACCGGCGATCGACCTTTCTCACCTCGACGACAGCGAGAGTGACATCAGCTCCGACGAAGAAGAGTTGCAGGCTGAGGATGCCGCAGCCGAGGCCGAGGACGCTGAAGACGATGACGAGGAAGATGAGGAGGGTGAGGATGAGGACGACATTGCGCTCTCTGATCTCGACTCTGTCGCCTCAGAGGACAAGGGTGACATTATCCCCCACCAGCGCCTCACCATCAACAACACGGCCGCCCTTACCGCCGCCTTGACTCGCATACAACTGCCTTACTCCAAACTCGCCTTTTCCGAGTACCAGGCCGTTACCACGGATGAGCCTGTCGAGATCGCCGATGTCGAAGACGACCTCAACCGTGAGCTCGCGTTCTACAAGCAATGCTTGTCCGGTGTCAAGGATGCGCGAAAGAAGTTGAAGAAGGAGGGCGTGGCATTCTCTCGGCCAGCAGACTACTTTGCGGAGATGGTCAAGAGCGATGAGCACATGGGCAAGATCAAGCAAAAGCTGATTGATGCCGCTGCTGGCAAGAAGGCCGCTGCCGAGGCACGTAAGCAGAGAGACTTGAAGAAGTTCGGCAAGCAGGTCCAGGTCGCGAAGCTGCAGGAGCGCGCCAAGGAGAAGAAGGACACAATTGAGAAGATCCAGACTCTCAAGAGGAGTATGTACCACCTCTATTTGGGAACACAAGTAACGGTATGCTAACAAATATGCAGAGCGACAAGGTGCCGATATCACAGCTACGAATGAGGAAGACCTCTTCGATGTCGCCGCCACCGCCGAGGACTCCAAGGACAAACGCGGTCGTGGTGCTGACGGCAAGGCGTTCAACAAGCGCGCAAAGAAGGACTCCAAGTACGGTTTTGGCGGAAAGAAGCGTCACGCGAAGAGCAACACCGCAGAGTCCAGTGCAGATGGCAGCGGCTTCTCAGCTCGCAGGATGAAGGGAAAGTCCAGCGGTGGTGCGAGCAAACGACCCGGCAAGGACAAGAGGGCGAAGAGACATTAGGTGGTGTAGTCATATGGACGGCTAAGTGACGTGTTCAGGTCGCTTTCTGCATGCGTATGGCGCTCTGGCGTTCAGGGACTGAGTATAAAAGCCCAACATGTATTCTATGAGGCGGATTGTCTTTATTTCACTAGGAGATACCAATGCACAACCGTACGATCATCTGAAGTCGCCTCAAACCTGCGCTAACCTAGCACCCCACGATTTCAAATATGAATACCAGACGGCTACACGTCGCCGTCTTTGGATTATATCACGTGTTATACAACCGCGTGGAGGCATCTAGGCCGTTGGTAACGGTCTATCAGCGACTGATGTTGTAGCCTGACTGCCACCGCCTGTGGCCTTAGCCTCGGAGCGGATGCGCACAACAGAGGCGACAACGTCATCCAGCAAACGCGCCCAGGCATCAACGCCTATATGCACTGATTCCGTATACATGTCCTGAGTCTCTCACCTATATAACGTCCGCAGCTACTGCACTCGACCACATATCCTCAACATCGACAGCAACACGATTGACGACAACAACAGGCCTCAATTGCTTCTCACAATCCGCAATGTCTAAGGAAGTCTTCTTCGAAGGCGACGCCGAAGTCCTCCCCTTCACAACACCAACCACACCTACCGCTACCTTGCAAAAGCCTTCCGACATACTCGACGTCCCCGCCGCCGCGCCCAGCACAATCTGGTACCTCTCCATCACCAAACCCCACGTCGACTCCCACGACATTGTCGGCCCCACCAAAGCATTCAGACACCTCCTCCCCCACATCGAAGCCATTGTCAGCAACTCACCAACAGCCATCGACAAGCTTGCACAACTGAAAGAAACCGAAGACATATGGGGCGAAACAGAGCCAAACGAGCATTTCTTCAACAACGGGTTTGAAGTCTTCATTGTCGAGGGACAGAGGGGATCTTACACAATCTTGAAGGTGATACGCGAAATCAACAAGGAAGTCTTTGATATTCTTCCCGCGCCAGTGTACACGGTAGTTTCCGTTGGACCCCTCGAGCACGCTGCTATCCCGCTCAAAGCCAAATCATCATCGTCTTCTTCTTCTGCCTCAGCATCAGCATCAACCTTGAAATCCTCTTCAGCACCGCTTTCGTCAAAGTTCTCTCCGGGCAAGCCAAAAGGCTATGTAGCTACGACACAGCTCCATGGCTCCTTCATCGAGCGAGCAGCCGCTAGGGAAACAGCAAAATATATCATGACTGTTCTTCTTCTTGACGAAGAGAACGTCAACGAGATTGGTAGGTGGGAGAAGGGAAGTAAAGGTGGTGGTGTGTTGATGGCTATGAATGCGACGAGTATGTGGGAGGTCAAGGTTGTGTATGCGGATGATCCGATCGGGAGGGCGCAGGAGGAAGCAGATAGAGGGGAGGATGCGTTTGTTTTGTGAGATGGAAACGGTGATATGAAGGTACTTGGTGGAAACTGAGACGTCAGACGAAAAGGTGACGGGGCTATGAAGAGCTCCTGGATGTGAGATCTGAGTTGAGACGGGAAGGTGCTGAGAGTATGTGATCTCCTTCTGGGTTTGATATCTGGGTCTAGGTGAGAAGATGGTTGGTGCTTTGAGAACCTCCTGGTGGTGCATGGAGTCTGAGATGGAAATGCTTTGGTGTACTAGATAGAGACAAAAGTGTCCCCGAGAATTCAGAGTTTTGGCTTCTCATTCGGGCATTCTGCAGGCTTCCCTTTGGTTTCCTGTATCTCGAGAGCCTCCATCTGCATGGCGGTGATTTGTTCGGGTGTTAGGAAGCGACCGTCTGGGCCTCGTGGTGGACGCATGCATCCTTGGACCACGCCAGGGATGTATGGCCTGTTCTGCCGTGAGAGAGCCAGGTGCGTGATGAGTTTTTGACGAGCAAGCCGCCTTTTCTGAATGCGGTTTTTCTGCTTGACGTTGAGGTTGTTGGTCGGTACGTTCGGTGCTTGCTCTTGCTCCGTGGTAGCTGACATGACGACTGACCGCTTTCGCTATCGGAATGAGATGGCAAGGGAAATTAGATACTGAACTTCTCGGCGAGGCAATTGATGTTTTTTGAGATGGAGCAAATTTTGTGCATTTGTTTGATAGCAGCAAACTCGGAGTAAAAGACAAGGAGAAAATCAATACAATAGTGCAGCCACATGGCTTGATGGTGATGACGTATGACAGGGTCAGGCGACGCGGGGATGCGTTGCTTGTGACCAAACATCACAACACCATCTTGGTGCACCGCGTTTCTCCTCGGACCAGAACAACAGGTTCGCAGCAACCCTTCCAGCATAGGGAATATATCGTTGGATTAGGCTCATGCGCTAGTGCAGCTACGGTGTCGGTAAGCAGTCTGATTTCACGCCACAATCCAATAGCTTCCGGACATTTCCCTAAAGCCCGACCGCGGAATTTCGACGGGAGTGGAGTGTGAAGGTGTCAAGCCACGTTGCACGGCCACACTTTGGTCCCACAGAAATATCACTGCTCGTCCCATGAAGATTGCTCATTGCCCGGTCGATTCAACACGCGTACGCTTTCGTAGCGCAAACTCCGGCTGCACTCGAATCCCATGCCTCCTGATTCCGTATGCCCTGCAGAGGCTGATTCTAGCCCTTTTGGCACGTCAAGCTAACGTACGATAACGATAACCGTTAGCACTTTCGATCGCCTGACTATTTTTAAAGTAGGTGGGCGGACACACACATTGCACTCACGGCTCCCAGCAATGGGCATCTCAGCAATCACAAGGCTGCCTGCATTCATGTTCGGCAGCACTTCGCGACTGCAGCACCATTTGAAACAAGCCACAGGCGGAAACAGAAACACGCTATAACTCGTTTCCCCACACACCGTTGCATTGTGGATACATTGGATCAGGTCCTTCATGATCGTCTTTAGGCTAAAATGCAGGTAGAAGTGAACCACCACTGACTCAGGAGATTCGATTCCACCGGCTTGGGATTCCGCAAAGACTCTTCCGTACCCAGAAACTGGAATGTGGAGGCTGAAAACGGACTCGAATGTGCTCAATAATCGACTCTGTTAAGTGTGGTCGCTTTGTCTAAGACTGCTATGACCAGAAGTCGATTATATATGTCCTTCTGAGCCGCACTTTCGAAAGTCGATCAATGTCCATTAGCCACCTTTGTATGCCAAGCCTGCGTAAGAACCCTACTGATAGCACAGGTACGAGACAAACGGGCGCTAGGTGGTAGGTCATAACTCACCGAGGTTGCAGGTGGGTGGGCTCGCGGCTTGGATCCCCATCACCATTCCTCGAGCATGTAGGATCCTCCATGTCTCCTTATCGTCGCTGAGAGTTTCACATTGAAAGGGCGGAGAAACAATCCACATACCTTCTCATGCGCTGAGATTCCGAGGATCCTTCCAGGAGGCAGACGTCGACAGAGAGATCTCAGCGCTAAGAGGTCCTGTATACCACACAAATCTGATGAGAGGGAAGCTTCCATCATCCTGATGTGGGCGATATGCTGGACTTTACTTACCAGAACCTGGACTCCATCGAACACTTGGCACTGGCAACGCTTTCCATAAAACCTGATACTTGCACGTCTCCAACAAATGACACCTCCGAATGCCAAGCTTCCGATGCCAAGATCACTGTTTGAAACGGTCAGCCGTACCATTTCGTTGGTGACAGGCCCACTGCTGCGGTAACTAGCACCCAGAAGCGGGTACTACGGCAGCGAACACCACGATGACAGCTCTCACATTTCGTGTGTTCATCTCGCTTCGCCACAGCTGGGCGGCAGAGCGGAAATAGTACCACCGCCAAGAGACCTCGGCCTCATGCGTCGATGGAAGTAAACGCTGAACAACTGTTTTGTGAAAACCAACGTCAATGATGAGGGGCTCGCAAGGAGTGGGTGGAGAGAAGGAGTCTGGGCACCAAAAACAGCTAGCGACATTGACCGCAAAGCTGAGATAGTTATCTCTGCTCAGGTACATAAGAAGCAGCAGCGGACGATAATGAAGAGCCCACCAGCACATTCCTGCACATCGTCTTTCGCTTCCTCCGTCGCTTTTCAGTCTTTCGCTACTACATTCGTTTCTACAGGCTAGTCCTACTATACAATCTTTTCACCTACCATCCATTTCAAAACCTATCATCGATTCAACATGAAGCTTTCCATCCTTGCCGGTGCCGCCATTGCGCAGCTCGCCTCTGCCCACTACTTCTTCGATGTCTTGGTCGTTGACGGCCAGGAGTCAAAGGGCTACGAGTTCATCCGCGAGAACACCCGCCCTGAGAAGTACAACCCCACCAAGTGGATCAACACCCGCGACGACATGACTCCCGATATGGACGACTTCCGCTGCAACAAGGGTGCTTTCGAGTCCGCTAGCCGTACTGGAGTAAAGGAGGTTGCAGCTGGCACCAAAATGGCCATGAAGCTCGGTGTCGGTGCTACCATGAAGCACCCCGGTCCTGCTATGGTCTACATGTCCAAGGCGCCCAGCTCCGTCAAGGAGTACGAGGGTGATGGCGACTGGTTCAAGATCTTCGAGTCGGGTGTTTGCGACCCCAGCAAGGACTTCTTGGGTACTGCTTGGTGTACTTGGGACAACGACAGGATTGAGTTCACTGTCCCTGAGGACGTTCCGGAGGGCGAGTACTTGATTCGCTCGGAGCATGTTGGTATCCACGGTGCTCACGGTGGTGAGGCCGAGTTCTACTACGGGTAAGTTCTTCTCTATACCAACTCCATAGCGACATAAACTAAGACTCGACAGATGCGCTCAAGTCAAGGTTACCGGCGGCGGTAGCGGCACCCCCGGTCCCACCGTCAAGTTCCCCGGCGCGTACAAGCAGGACGACGAGTCTTTCAACTTCAGCATCTGGGGTGGATACAAGGAGTACCCCATGCCCGGCCCAGCTGTCTGGACTGGCGGCAACAGTAGCGGTGCCCAAACCCCTGCTCAGACTCCTACCGAAGACACTACTTCGCCCGCTCCCTCTTCCGCGCCTTCTTCAGCACCTTCCTCCGCACCTGTTGCCAGCGAGGCTGTTGCGCATAACGCTGAGAACTGCAATGGTGGAAAGACTAAGCGTGGCCGCCGTGCTTTCCGCGAGGCTCTTCTTCGCAAGGAGTAAGCGCAAGAGTTTCAATTTCGGGCAATAAATGGATTGGACATGCCAGAGCATGGAGATGAAGGTGCTGGGATTCATATCAACATGGTTGGACATTTTAGTCCACCACTCTTTTTGTATACATATTTTTACGAGAGTTGCAGCCGTGCTGTGCTTCTCTGTACATATTCCTGGATGACAGTGAAATTGTTTCCAGAAACCGTGCGCACTTGACTTAAAAATCGCCGTAAGGTCTGTTATTGTCACATCATCTCGGCTAGTGTAAACACATAGCCATCTTCTTTCCGGTCTCTTGGTCGTCGCCGGTCGTGGGTCGTACTGGCATTCGATTGTCCCACTCTAAGGAAACTAACATGGGCAGTGGTCTACTATCTGAGGCGCAGAAGGAGCAAGAATTTTCAGAAAATTCTATGATGTAGATGCTACGCTTAAGCTCCAAGAAATTGAGCTAGCCCTTCCATGCTAGATGATATGTATTTTTTGTCGATTCATCATCTTATTTTGAATGGCCTTCAGAATAAGCCGCTGTTGTAGTATTCCACGTAGCCGTGCTACCATGTCCATTGTCGACACGTATATCCATAAAATGTTGAAGTTTTGCTCGAGCGTGAATTTCGGGTCGATCGTGAGCCTCGATAATAGCGACCGAGCCCTCCATACGATGAAAGCTTGGGTGATCTGGTATAGCTGCTCTGTTTGATCGGCGGTCTGTGATGGAACTATCTCCCTATCGGATAGAAGCAGAGGAATTGGATGTCTTGGGCTCTTTCCTATGGTCACAAGCATGGAGAGTCGATTTACATCATATTTGAGGTCGAACAGTGCTGTTTGGAGAGGCACACACTGTTTACACGAGTCCTGGTGACCTTTCACTACATTCCGCAAATATGTACACATCTCTTGCGGGGATGGAGTTTCAGACTTTCTGGTTACTAGAACTTCTTCAACACGATCAGCAAGGTCTGCATCTCCCAATGATGAGATATAATGATCACCGGGGCAGAAGGAATCAGACCATCGTCTGCTGAGTAAAGCGGACTTTTTGGGGACCGGATCTTCATCGAGAAAGGCCAAAACGTCCTCACATATCTCCATCATGACCGGTAGAACTGATTGCTTGTGTAATTCTCCATAAAGCATGCCGAATGACAATCTAGAGGCTTGGCAGAGCGCTGATGCCAACGGGAAATGCTTCGACCAGTCGTTTCGGATGCGGGTGTGAGCGTAGGCAGAGCCAGCGCACACTCCATAGAAGAATGAATTCATCAACCAATCGTCGACGATGTGAAACTCGAGTTCCACGAGATACGAGTGGAAATTGATTATGTCGTTAAGATTTGGTGAAATTTGTCGATTCAGAGGTGCTGACAGTATACAAAACAAGTCATGAAGACTGTAAACTCTATCCGAGTGCTTCTTCAAGACGACAGCTACTTCGAAATTGGGAAGATAATATGTGTGGAGATCATGTTCACCAAAGCTTTCTTGGTCCAGGCCGAACGCTCGTGAACTGGCGACCTGCAAACCGTGCAGTAGCTTTCCATGTGCATCCGTAAGTTCTATTTTACCCATCGATGTCGAGAAGATATGACCGGCATCAAGCGCCAGCACACCACTCCGCGGTAAGAGCTTGAAAGGCTCGACTGGCACTGGTGCCGAGAAAGGGTATGTGTGCCATTCCCAATGAGATTTACGTTCATTACGTTTAATCAGGGATGAATCGAATGACCGGGACCAATGCAATCCCGAAGGTCTGCGCAGAAGCGTAGTGTCGAACTGAAACGTTGACGATGTCGATAGTGTGCGTTCCCAGCTCGCAACTGTAGGTAGTTGCGGTGCCCAATCTGGAACCCAAGAAGGCAGGAGTGGCGTGGCCTTGGGAAGTAGAGCAAGCTTGAGTAATTCCGAACGCCTTGATCGGGATCGATCTTCACTACCTGTGAGCCAGTACAGTGCCAAACCTGTGTATAGTTGCTGTACGCTGATGTTGTAGTCTATGGGTAGTCGTTCCGCTTCTTCCTCAGCGACCAGCCCCATCAAGCCATAGATTCGATCGCGCGAATCCCCGCAGTGGCAATCTTTGGTAGCTAAAAGCACTTCGTATAGACTTTCGTGTATCTTGATAGAATTAAAGTGCTGGACCCAGTGCATAGGTTGCTGAGCTCGCGTTGTACTAAAGAGAGTATTGACACTCGATAGAAGGTCCTCCGAATGCATTGTATGGTTGCCATGAGTCACACTAGCTGCTTTGCTAAGCATGACCTCTTGAATCACCCAGATTCGCGAGAAATAAGGCGTTTGCAGGATTTCTCTAGGGTCAATAGTGTAACTTTGAGAAAAATCTTTGGAGACTTGATCGTTCTTCTGTGGCAGTACGATAACGCTTTCTGCCCCATTGTCGCTGTCACCCAAATATATGAGGACCCTGGCTGCAGAGGTATATATGTCCTTCATGAGCGAGACTTGGTGTCCACGCTCTTTCAAGTCAAACTGGTTGATACAAATGGCATCGACCCAAACAAGTCGGTCTATGGCAGTTCTGAAACGTCGAAGCGCCGCCAAACAATTCTTCGTGACCGGCAACACATCGTACTGTGGGCCAATAAAAATGGTCTCGCACAGAGAAGAATTGCCCTGTGAGTCTGCCCAAGTATATGAAAACGCCTCGAAAATAGGTCGGCAGGGATCGTGAAGTCGATGATTCTCTAAAGTGCCGCAGACGGGGTCGCTGGTGTCTTCGCTACCATGAAGGCGTAGGAGACGAATGGAGTTCGCATTCGGAAGACGCGAATAGATGCCCTGGAACAGGGAATTTGGTTCGCTTGGATTTAGTGGCTGCTGCTGCGGGGATTGCTGGTCGGATTTCAGCTCCCTTTGCGATGGTCGTGTAGAACTGGTACCAGTCCATTCATCAATGTTCGCCAGTATATGAGCTAATGTATCTGAGTCCCCATGACCTCCAGCTTGACCTTGAGAAAACAAGCTTGGAGGCCATGTGCATATCAGCTCTGACCGCGGTGTGTCTGGCGGGGGTGCAGGTGGGGAAATCGGATGGACAGGCGCTAGCTTAGGCGCCTTGCGCTCACATTTGCGGCACCCTGGCTGTCCATCTTCCCACTCCAGATCCAGCGTTGCGCATGTCGCGTCATGCCACGCCATGAAAGTAGATTTAATGGTTCCGACGGCGTAGGTGCGAGTCGTTCAGGATGAATACTGTCAAGGCAGCCAAGGAAGGCTGAAGGATCGCGGTCGTGAAGGCTACCCCGCCGTCCTCGCGGTCATTGGCCAGCCTTGCTGCATTGCGTTGTCTCGGCGTGCAGACAAGCAAAGAACTAAAATCTATACTGATGATAAGTAGATAAGCAGACTCGCCTTTCATCAAGAATAAATTGCGGTACCCTCACAATCGCAAGCCATTTCTTGCAACACGACTGATCAAACTACTTCTCCATGGAACTGCAGAGGCATTGGACATTCCAAAGGCTGCAGCTGAAGAGGTTATGCATCATGCGATGCTCGAGTGAGATGATGTGGGGAGAGATGGCACAAACGTTTGGAGAAAGTTGGGTACGCGGGACCATTTGTGGGACCGAAGATAGGTGCATGTGGAGTCATGCGTTGGGCTGGAAAAACGTCGGGACAGCAGCTGTCGGAGTAGGCGAGAAAGCTTTGTCATGTACTTGCTCGCGAGGAGCCGAGACGCAGAAGATTTTCTCATTGCGACTCGAGGACATGGGGCAGAATTCTTTTCCACGTCAAGCTCCTCGGGCTGAGCCACTAGCGCGTTCTAGAGCCAATCAGACCTGTGGGCCGGATCGGACCAAAGCCTGGGGAGCCCTCCGCGTGATTTGCGCCGACTCACGTGAAGAAACAGCCTCGGCATGCGCTTCGTCGTCGAGGTGGCGGTCATCACGACTACCACGGTTTACCTCTCGTATAGAAGGGACTGGCCTTGAGTTTCCCATAGTCGGATGACCTGCAGCCGCACCTGGGACGGTGTGCAAGGGCATCCCGGCTAGAGGTTTCGACTGTCGGGACAGGAAGGGGAGGCTGGTTGGTGGTGCTGGGGTAATTGCATTGACTCGCGGAGTCACACGCGCTTAATTAGGAGCTCCGACGGGCAGCGAAGTATCGTCTCGTATTGGCCGTAAGGCGTCCATGACCAACGACTTCAGCATCAGCAGTTCATGGTCATGACGGCCACTGTTGCATTAGCTCACCGCCACCAGGTCTTGATCTGGGGAAGGAACAAGAGGCGGTTGAAAGTATAGCACAGGCCATTCACTCGGCGCATCGTCAGCGCAGCATTGCAGTGAGCTCGAATAGACGCAGGCGGCGTTGGCGGCGTGAGCCGAGCATAGGGCGCCGCAGACCTGGTATTGGGGGCTAGCGTAGTTAAGGCTCTGCTTGCTCCAGGCGCACGTTAGCCAACTCCATGGGCAACAATAGACTCCATGGGCCACGATGGTGGGGTCTAGTGAAGTGGGAACCCTTGGTCGGGGAACCCTCACGTGCGGCTCTGAAAACCTGGAAGCGTTCTAGACTGTAAATTGCGCGGTCAGTGCGCTGGTTGCCAAGGACAAATCACAGCCGGTTCAAATGCCGGTCCGACACTTGTCAAATTGCTAGGCTAGTCGGGCCTGGAGAAAGAGCTGGAGAGGGCAAAACGCGGGCGACCATACCCCAGATGGCCAGTGGCGCACACCTTTCACTGGCCTGCCGGGCTAACGCACCCAATAACAGAGAAGCACAGACGCCGACTAGCTGAGACGCAATGTTACCTAGCCATTTCTGCGGTACGCTTGTTGCGCAGAACAGCTAGATCTCAAATCTCCAGCATTGTTATTAACCCTCAACTCACCCCGTTCAGATTCACCTCTTCGTCCAAGGCCGCTTGCGAGTTCTACCTGCACAGCTTCAGATAGAGCGCATCGTCAACTTCCCCTGCCTACACCTTCGCTCCATCACTCAACATGAGCACCCACGACATGGCCGATGAGGCCGCCAACCCCAAGGGCATCCAAGCTACCACTGATGTCACCATGACTGAGTGCCCCGTTACATGGAAGGCCTACCTCCTCTGTGCCTTCGCTTCTTTCGGTGGTATCTTCTTCGGTAAGATGATGATCGACAACCTTTGCGATTTCGGCCACTGACCACGTATCCCACAGGTTATGATTCAGGATACATCAACGGTGTACTCAACTCCCCTCTTTTCATCGAGGAGGTCGAGGGACCCATATGCCCCCAGGGTCTTGATACCCCCGATGGCGCTTGCGCTATCAGCTCCAGCAACACCTCGCTCATTGTGTCGATCCTTTCCGCTGGTACCTTCTTTGGTGCTCTCATTGCTGGTGATCTCTCCGACATGATTGGTCGCAAGTGGACGATCGTTTTGGGATGTCTCATCTACATCATCGGTATGAAGTCCCCGCATGTACTACCATGTTGATCAGCCGCTAACTCCCGCTTTAGGTGTTGTCCTGCAAATGGCTGCAAACGGACGTGACCTCCTTGTCGCTGGTCGTGCCATCGCCGGTGTTGGTGTCGGTTTCGAGTCTGCTATTGTCATTCTCTACATGTCCGAGATTTGCCCCAAGAAGGTTCGTGGTGCGCTCGTTTCCGGTTACCAATTCTGCATCACCATCGGTCTCCTTCTCGCTGCCTGCGTCAACTACGCCGTTCAGGACCGCGGTGACACTGGCGAGTACCGCATTCCCATCGGTATCCAATTCGCCTGGGGTCTTATCTTGGGTGGTGGTATCGCCTGCCTTCCCGACTCCCCTCGTTACTTTGTCAAGCGCGGCCGTCCCGATGAGGCCAAGAAGTCCCTGATGAAGATCCGTGGTGTACACCCAACCAGCCCCGATGCCGCCCACCTCAGGTCTCTGGTCGAATTCGAACTTGCCGAGATCATTGCCAACGAGGAGTACGAGCGTGAGCTTATCCCTGCTGGTGGCTGGCTCGCTGGATGGACCAACTGCTTCAAGGGTTCTCTCTTCCAGTCCAACTCCAACCTCCGCAAGACCATTCTCGGTACCTCTCTCCAGATGATGCAACAGTGGACTGGTGTCAACTTTATCTTCTACTACTCCACACCTTTCTTGCAGTCGACCGGTGCCATCAGCAACACCTTCTTGATCTCGCTCGTCTTCACCCTGGTCAACGTCTGCTCCACCCCTCTATCTTTCTACGGAATGGAGAAGTTCGGTCGCCGAACACTCCTCCTCTTCGGTGCCCTCGGTATGTTGATCTGCCAGTTCTTGGTTGCCATCATCGGTGTTACTCAGGGCTTCAACAACTCCTCTACCCTCCCCGATGGTACCACTCGCGCCAACAACATCTCCGCTGTCAACGCTCAGATTGCCTTCATTGCCATCTTCATCTTCTTCTTCGCCACTACCTGGGGTCCTGGTGCCTGGGTCCTCATCGGTGAGGTGTTCCCTCTTCCCATCCGTTCGCGTGGTGTTGCCCTCTCCACTGCCTCCAACTGGCTCTGGAACACCATCATTGCCGTCATCACCCCCTACATGGTTGGTACCGACGAGGGCAACCTGAGGTCCTCTGTCTTCTTCATCTGGGGAGGTCTCTGCACCATCGCTTTCGTCTACACCTACTTCTTGGTTCCTGAGACCAAGGGTCTGTCTCTCGAGCAGGTCGACCAAATGATGGCTGAGACTACTCCTCGTACCTCCGCCAAGTGGCGCCCAACCCACACCTTCGTCGAGAGCTCTCTCCAGAAGGGTGGCACTGCCATGATCGAGAGGAACGGTTCCGTTGTCATCGACACCGAGAAGAACAACCGCACTGCCTCCGTTCACTAGATGGAGTAATGGATAGTGTTTTATTCATGTTGTAATGACACGAATGACTCACTTGTACGAAGTAATGTTTGGGTTCTGCGAAACGTAAAGTAAAGCATAACACGAAGGAAAGGAAGGACTATATACCTCTGCGATACCTCAGTAGTTTATTCTATAGCATAAACTACATCTTTAATCTTGCACATCGATCTCCAGATTCTAATCGTGATTGTTCATATTTGCAAGTTGGTTTTGTTACTTTTTACACCGCAAGTCTAATCTTGGTCGATGACGCATGCTCAAACCCCACTCCTACTTCCTCAATTCTCCTGTCAACTCGACCTCACTACCCCTCTCTGTCTCTCTCTTCCTCATCCCCTTGTATTTTTTACCATCTACCCTAGCAAGCACGAACAGTGTTTATTACTTCCGACGGAGTCAAAGATAGCTAAACACCATGGATGTCAAGCCACATAGGTGACAGAATTAATCGAAATTGTGAACGATTTGGATAGAACTAATCACAGTGGATAATATGAGTTCAGTAGTCTGGAAGGGCGACGAGATAGAATGTTGCATGTAGGGCGCCATTGTACTCCAGGCTTCCAGGTAGCAGTGCCAAGTAGAAGGCGCTGACAGTTTTCTGCATCACGCGGTAGAAGCGAGCAAGTGGAAACGGGCAGCTGCGAACAACAGGCCTGAGCGGGTCCGACCAAAGCTTATATATGTATTTAGCCTAGCGTCTTCAGCTAGTCTCGGAGGTCCCTCGTTGGGTCTGTGTGTGCTTCAGCCCTTCCCTTTTTGCGTCCGTCCGCACATCATCAGTGCCGTGCGTGTCGACTTGTCATCGCCTCCACGCGAGGTTTGCGACACCATCATCGAATTTGTCCTAAATGCGCGTCGAGCGACCAACCTGCACCCTTCCAGACAACGAAGCGCGTCACAATTTTCCCAACAACTGGTTTTCGATGCGGTATTCCAGCTGCCGCCTTCGGTAAAGAAAACAAGGCTGTGGCTCCACGTACCAGAAAAAAGAAGAAGAAGAAGAAGAGGAAAACAAAGAAACATCTCAAGGTGTCTACGTAGAACTTTCCCTTGTGGTAAATTGAAGAACAGGTCTCATACATGAATGAGCTGAGTCCTGGGCTGATTTGAGACGACATACTGGATACTCAACGTCTGGTCTTGAGATTGCTCGGTATTCGATCCACGAACTATATGCTTTCAGCACGGTACGGAAAGTATGACGTAAATAGTTCACAGTCACGGGTCTCATCGTCCATAGGAATGACGAAGCTGAGTTGATGAGATGTCGGAAAGGAGTATATTCTCAGTAAGTGGAGAGAGTACTGCTAAACCACCCAGCCGCACTTATCAGACCTTGAGCAACACATTCTCGGTCCATTCCCACAACTTCTCTGCTAGAGCTTGATTTTTAGCTTCTGCTGTCAATCTTTCCGTCGAATCTACACCCACTGGCGTGTAGTATGCTCCATTCTTCAATGCTCCCTTCTCCGCTCCGGCTGCGCTCCAAAGCTGGTTCAGAACACCCTGGTGCGGCTCAAGCCACTTTTCGCCCGAAAGCCGGGACGTTACATTCACGAAGAACTTGCTCAAGCCAGCCATCTCGGTATTCATGGGTGTCTTGACGAGACCCGGGTGGATCACCACGGATGTCAGCTCTGGGTGCCGACGTGCGAGCTCCCTCGTGAAAAGGATAGTCGCGAGTTTAGACTGGCCATAACGGATCCACCCCCCTAGTACCAACCTGGACATTGTGCTTCCAGAGTCGAGCTCCTCAAAGGAAATGCCACCTTTGATGGCGCGATGGAATTCGTAACCCGCAGAGGTGGTGCTGATGATGCGCACATCTGAGTCGGGATCTTTGGCTGTCTTGAGTAGAACGGGTAACAACTGTTTGGTGAGCATCGCGTGGCCGAGGTAGTTCGTCGCAAACTGGATCTCGTAGCCATCGATGCTCAGGGCGGCTGGCTTGGCTATAATTCCAGCGTTATTCATTAGTATGTCGAGGCGATCGTGTTTGAACCCTTCCGCTATGCTTTCCTTGACAGCGCGAAGAGATGAGAGATCCATCTTGATGAAGCTCAACGATGCTGTTGGGTATTTAACTTTGATGTCGGAGATTAATGTGTTGGCTGCGATGATGTTCCGGCCTGTGAAATAGATGTGCAAAGGGTTGTGCGCCGCGAATGCTCGAACACTTTCTTCTCCTAAACCCGCGGTGCCTAAGATGATCGTTAGGGCGCTGTCAACATTGAGGGACCGATATACAAACCTCCGGTTATCACGATAACCTTGCCCGAGAGGTCACCAACATCCTTTTCGAGGTCGAAATCTTTGAAGCCTTGCATATCGACGTAAGGCCCGGAAGGTGGGCTAATGCTGATATCTCTTTTTCCGCAGGCGAACGATCATTTTATATGTACATATCCTCATCATTAGGAATTGCAACGGACGAAAAAGTGAGAGGACTTCGGTATTACTCCTCGGGTTGTGGTTCGAAATGCGCCTCCACCGGGAGGACATATGGCCGCACTGTGCAAAACACAGGGATGATTGACGAAAGTGCAAAAACACTATGCAATATCGCATGAACTTGAGACCACACGGAGCTCGACAACATTATCTCAAACTAGGAATGTGTCTCAACGATAACATCCTTTAACCAAATGGATCGAAAGTGCTCGGATCGTAATCCTTCCCCTCTTGCCACATCTCCACTACAACCTTTTCCTTCCATATGCCATCTGACCTTCTCTTCTCCCATTTTCGGGAGACGGTATAGTGCCATATCTTTGTACTTCCACCCGCTGCGACGAAGGCCACTTCGATTTGTTGAATCGCGCTTTCCCGACCAAAGTCATGCCATAAGCGCAGCATTAATCCATGGGCAACCTTCTCTTTGATCTGAGGTGAACCCACTGACCATGAATTCGGGTATGAAATCAGCTGGTCTGAGTCTACCTCTAGATAACATGTGAGGTGAAGCTGTTCGAGATGGCGAAATGAAGCTAGCGCTGAGTGAACAGATCGATGAGTCGCGGCGCTCGGCGGTGTCCATGGCGAGAATGACAGAGCCGAGGGTTTCAGCGACGAAACACCATGCTTCTGCGAGCTAGAAATGGTGAAGAGCTTCTTCAAACGTGCGACGGCCGATGTCTTGCCTGTAGCCTGATCGTCCGGCCATACGCTCGACCTCTTCGTTCCCTCCTTTATCTGCACTTTCATTGGCAATCGTAATATCTTTATGCCTCGGGCTGTCTCCGCTAGATTGTAAAAGTGCTCGGGTTCCCACGCTACGCTCCTCCAATACTTTGCTTCCAAACTACGCAGACTTTGTCCATGCTTGGCTAGAAGTTTAGGCCGCACCATTTGCATGTGGTCGTCGTTATGACAATACGTCTTCACATTTCTCAGTGCATCGATTGAATTGAGAAAATGCTCAAGAACTTTCATGTCCTTGTTCGAGTTCCAACAGGCCCTCGCAGCGCCCGTGTAACCTTCCCAGAAGCCGAAGTTGAAAGTCTTGAGCTGTGAGACACGTCCTGTCAATGTTTGTAGAAGGGCTGTAGGGGTACCGTGACCGAAATCTAGGGTATGTAGCCGACCCCAATCCATGCAACGTGACCACATCTGACAGCTCTCTGCAGTTGGAAAGTAGTTCTGATGCTCTGGATCTAAGGTCAACTCCTCGAGTGCCGGGAACATATCACCGTCCTGAAACGGAAGATTGAGTGGGCTTTCTTGATAGTCGTCATTCCTTCTCCCGGAAAGGGCGCCAACTTGCAAACGCAGAGTCTTCAGGTTGCGGGCTTGGAGTAGGCACTGTTTCAGCTCGGACATCTCCGATGGGCAAACGGCTTCTGGTCGGCATGCAAGAGCAGTAAAGTCCAGGTTGTCCAGATGTGAAGACGAAAGAATAGCCTTGTCCATTGCATGAGGTCCACGATCGTTGTTGATGTAGGTAAGTCGCATGTTAGGGCGATCTACCAACAGTGCCTGTAATGAAGGTGGGAAGGGGTACGAAGTCTCCCATCTGTGATGTGTCAGCTTTCTAGAACCGTGGTGCGATCGCGTAGGATTTACGATATTCTCTGTAGCTGCACCAAATGACTCCAGCAGTCTACCAGTAACGTTACGAGCTTTTCGCAAATCACAGGATCATATCGGACGGGTCTGACTCGAATGCATCTTATTTTTTCGCCGGTCGCCTGACCTGGCATTCGCGTTCCCTGTAGGATTGTTGTTTCAACGTCGTTCACACCTCCAAGCGAGATCTCGCGAAATAAAAACTCCTCAGAAGAACTTCTGCTTACGCGGCACACAACGCGAAGCGCGTGAAATGCCGCAAAATCGTCGTGAAAGAGTTGAGCAAAGATACCGGAAAGAACACTTTGCGGTAGGGCGACGAATTGAGAAGACATTGTCAACGATGCGCGCACGTTTCGCACAGGTAGAGATAATTGCTATTATGGCTGAAAGTAGCCTGTCTGTGTTCGAGACGGCGGACTGTATATGTGTGAAAGTGCAGCCTAGGTGGATATTACCCTGGTTCTACACAGCCCGGAAGCCACCCGTTCGGATAAAATAGATTACACGACTTAGCGCCCACCAACTAGCGCCGCCCCTTGCCAGGGTTCGCTGTTCCAACTACGCAGACCCATCGCTGCAGTATCGAGGGATGACAGCATACTGTTCATCGCGTCAGTAGGTTTCTGCTGAAGGTTGCATATGACTCACTTCGTCGCTCCAAAGGGAATAATGTTTGCTCCACTTGGTTTTGAAGACTGTTGGCGCTTCTATGTTTCCAAAGAGCTCTGCACCAGCATCCATACCGTAGCAGTAGATGAAGGGCTGATTGCTGCCAACTTTCGTATCCGCATACAACTGCGCATACGAATCGACACCCAGATCGAGCTATTCATATGTCAGACGCTTTCAGTGTTGTCACTCTCACGCTTATGCTTACCGCAGCATTAGATATTGCAGAGCTATCAAACACAATGCCGAATGTCACTTTTGGAATGATGTGTGCAGTGACCTTGCCTGAGGCGTCCAGGTCCCAAGTAAACGGGTCATGGCCACCGGATCCAGAAACATCTTTCTTCGTGGTCTCCTCGTCGGGTTTGTCGTCCTCACCATCGGGGATGGGATATCGCATCGAGTAATCCCACCCAGGCATCTCCATCTCATACGTTGCATTGATCTTCAGTTGTGCTTCTCCAGCAAGTGAACCAATGATGCGGAAATCGGGCCCGATGGTCACAAAACCAGGAACGCGGAAGGTTGCGCCAAAATTGTGGGCTCCAAACAGCTCAACATCACCAGTGTGGAAGGACACCTTGCCAAAGGCTTCGAACTTGAGTTGCGCTGTAACCTGACCCTCCGTGCGGAACCAAGCGGAAGACTCCTCGAAACTTTCAAGGTTTCCAAGCTTGCCGATAACGGTGACTCCACCTGCCGTTTGGACGTCAAGATCCATCTCAACCCAGCTTTTGAAGTATAGATCATCCGCCCACTCTGCACAATCTGTCAGGGTCTCCTCGAAGATCTTGATGTTGAATTGCTCATGCACCCGGTGCCTGACACCCTCATACTTGATGTCGACGTCTCTTTGTTTGTCCCACCATTCTTTCCAGCTGCCTGACCACCATCTCTTGTGCAACTCAGTGTAGTGCAGCTCGCGCTTTTCCTTGCGCCAAGTGTGTTCCAGCCAAGCCTTCTTGTTGCCACCGAACATTGTCTCAATCTCCAGGTCTCGTTTGCGCTTGTGCTTTCCAGGAGGTGCTTCGATAATGCTATCCCAATAGCCAGGGTTGTCACTATAGTCGATGCGTACCAAAACATTAGACTGATCAGCGCGCTTTTCGAACGTCGTGAAGTCGTAGTCGAATGTGAAGTCGTATACAGCGGCATCGCTAAGCCCCCGCTTCTCCAGTCTGTGTCGAATGTGGGCATGCGCGGTCGACGACTCCATTTTCCTCGCGACAGCATATTTGCCAGGGCCGCAGTCGCTAGGCATCTCGACGACAGTGTGCTCCAGGCCACCTGTGAAAATGATGTCGCAATTACTGTTTTCAGACGAGTCCGTACATACCGCCTTCACAGTTTGGCGATTCTCGCCGACGGAGTTGTCGCAGTCGAAAAGTTCCCAATGTGAGCCATCGCGTTTGTTGACTGTCGTGATTTCGTCTTCGGGGCCGGACATGATGTAAAAGCCAAAGGCATGATCATCAGGATCGTTGCTATTTCCTGGTGTGATTTGGCCACCCATTGTCTGATCAACTTTGATGGTAATCTTCTCGGTGTTCGAGTCGGGTCCAGGGGTAGGGAACAGGTTTCTGTGATTTATCAGAGATGCACGCACATAAGATTTGGAGGATGAGTGACTTACTTCAAAGGCACGGGCAGATTGATGGTTTCCTGGCACAGTTAGCAAGCCGCAAGTCAGCACGAGCATCGGGAGAGGTTACCTTGCCCATGCCTCTAGTATCGCAACAAAAGGCGAGGTCTGCATTGTACCACGACCAGACGCCCATCTGTTGAGGTATCGTGTACTTGCACTCGTGTGTACCATCTCCTTTGCCATCGCCATTTGGTCCGCCGTGCTGATCCTGGTCGATTTTGCTAGTGGTTGAACTGCAAAACTCCGAGTTCGAACAGATCGGGACATTGCCGCCCTCGTTCCAGTAACACGAAGATGTGTCGATGCCTTTGTCGCAGCAATAGGAGACGCCCTTGTTGCCTTGGCATGTTCCACGTTTGGTGGTCACGAAGTTGCGATCTACGGGGTCTTTTAGCTCAACTTAAGAATGACGTCAACACGAAACTCACTTCCACAGACGCTTTTGAGACTGTTTGAGTTCTGCGGCCTCCCATCCTTCAAATTCAGACACTCATCTGTCCAACCACATACATCGTTGACACCACCAGTAGAACTCTCACAACAGTATTGTGCAAAGCCAAACCAGCAGGACAGGTGCTCATCGTCGATATAGGGCTCCGTACTTGATACAACAGGTATCTCGCCGTCGTGACAAGCGCCTGAGCACCAGAACCCCTCGATACCTTGTTGACCTCCAGACCATCTGCATTTCTTTGGATCCGGAGTTGACTTCAGAGGGCAGCACAAAGTCTGCCTCTGAGCTTTGCCGTCACGCATGCCGCAGTATTGCTGAGCGCCAGCTGACTGATAGCCAGCACCACACGATGTGGTACCACAGGACGACCATGCGCATTCCGTTCCTGTCGCAGAGCCGAAATCACCTTCATCAATAGCGCTTGAATCGTATCCGTTTTGCTCAGCAAAGACATCGAGTTTTCCGCCTAAGAGGGCTTTCAGTGCCGTGTGGTCCGTGTCGTCAAGGTCTATAGACCAAACAAATAGACCAAGCAGACTAATCTCAAATCAGTGGGCATTGGCTTGGGAGTGACAAGAATACTCACCCTTGTTCTTTCGCGAAATCGACCTTGTCCTGGAGCGTTTCTTCGTCGTCGTAAGACACCCACTGATTATTGGAGCCCCAAGCCAGATACTTCACTCCAGCCTCCTTATCGTAAATCTTTTCGAGGTTGAAGCGCTTGATATATGACTCAATCTCGGCGAAGGAAAGTATACCGCTTTCACCGGTGCATTGCCCAGCCACGCCAGGTGCTGAGTGCTTGCAACCAGGCTTGTTGCAATTCGCGTCCTCGAGGGTGTACGACCGACCATAGAACCCTATACCCAGATTTATGCGATCTGCAGGTACACCCATACGCCAGAACAAGTCAAGAGATTCCTTGATCTCTGTCTTGTTGGTATGTGCATAGACGTACGGACCGATGTAAGTGCCGGGCGCATCCCAGCTGCCATGTCTAATCCACATGTTAGGTCCATGCTGCTCGCAAAGTAAAATGTCACACTCACAGATCGTAAGACATAAGATTGATCCAAGAAACGTATTTCCAAAGCAGGTCGATCTTGAACCATCGCAAATACCAATAAGAAGAGGGTGCGGTGAACGAGATACCATAATCATCTCCGGCGAGCTCAAATACCGTGTTGAGTGCTTCGAGAAGAAGAACAAAGTTACCCGGATCATCCGGTTTACCCCCGCGATCTGAAGAGTCGACTTAGTCAATCGTATTGAGGGGACGGTCATATGCAACATACCTGGTGCACCCGGATACTCCCAGTCCTTTTGATCGTGTTAGAAACTCTGCCCAGGATATGCCACCAAAGGTGACTTACCAGGTCGACTCCATCAAATCCCCATGTCTTCATGAACTTGTGCAGATTCGCGGCAAATTTGTACCGATTGGCGCCCGTGCGTGCAAGATCTCCCCAAACAGCCTGCGTATCGGTATTGTTATCGCTATATGTCCAACCACCCAACGAGATCCAGATCTTGAGACCTGGCGCCTTTTGTTTCAGGTTTGTGATCTGAGAGAAGACATCGTCCGAGGTACGTGGCATGGGTACAATTTCAAATGTTTCCGGCTCGATATATGCAAACGCAAGGTTGAGATGGGTCAGCGAGCCAACTGGGACATCATCGATCGTTCGTTTGGAGCAACTTCTTGTCGTCAAACTCCACCCTGCCCAGTAGCTGGTACAAGTTAGCGCAAGACATCATCTTCGGAGATAGTACGCACCCAATGACCAATTTGCGTATATCTCCGCGATTGGGCTCGCTGGATCCAGGTTGTTCGCCTGGAGAAAGGTGACAAAGTCAGCCATCATGGCGCATGCGTAGATGCGGGAGCCTCACAATTGCTTTGGCATGTATCATCGCAGTAGTCTGCTTTGACGCCACAGTACCCTGATCCGCTGCAGCAGACTTTCAAAGGGCACGTTGTTCCAGGTACAGCTGCACCTGCGCCGCACTCCGATTTATGGTCACAGTTGGAAATGCAGACATCCTTTCCGCAGAAGTCGCTTCCTGACCCACACTGTGCATGTAAGATATTGATCTGAATATAACGAATTTGAGATCATGGAGACTCACCCAACCCCTAGAATCTATCAGTTATGAAGTTTTTGTGGGAACAGGAGACGTACGTCTTTCCATTGCAACATTCACCTCCAGCACATGGCTCGCCTTCTGCACACCTTCCCTTCTCTGCTCTTTGCCAAAGCTCTGTTCTGGTGTTCGGTGTGATCGGAGGCGGTAGTACTTGCGCCCTTCCGATGCGAGCAGGGTTAAGCAAGGCATTTCCCCCATCAGGTCGTGTTGCTTGAATTGCACATTCCGCCAATAAAACAGTGCAAAGAAATATCGATAGACAAAGCAGCTTCAAAGATGCATACATGGCTTGTAAACTCGAGATCGAATTCGCCAACTCTTGCTACAAGGGAAAGATCAGAGTGGAGGAACTAATGAGCGTGATCCGTCAAAGTATTGCAGAAACAATGATCTGTCGTGCGCACGAAGCATACTCCTTCTCCAGCCATTTGCGTATCCAAGCAAAACCCCTGGCAAGATGTCGCCCGACACGGTAATACTAGAGCAGTCGAAGAACGCCTGGATGCATCACTACCCCTGTCGCGAGTTTGCGCTGAACACTAGAGAGGTTTTGCGAAAGTTCAAGGCGTTGGTATGATTTTCCGGATAAATCCACGGACCCGACTGCGCCGCACCAGATATTACAAGGCGGCCCGCACTATCCTCATCCTGCCAAGGATCGAAAAGCAAGATCGTGCTCCCGTCTCCCGAAGTTGTGAAGATGCTCCGTACACCCCACACACTCCCTGACACGGTCAGCACTAGCCTTTGCTAAATTGAACTACATGAGACTTGTCAAGCCAAGAAAAGACAAGATTGACGGGACAAGATCCCGCTTGCACGTCTGATCTCAGGCCTCCAGCATCTCTTCGCATGTGTTGGATTTTTGTAGGTCATTGATAACAAATCGAGTCTCTTCTCCGCCTCGACCGCAATAACCGACATGGCTCGGTTGTATCCTTTCTAAGCACCTGCATGCTCTAGGTTCAATACGCATGCATGAAATTGGTGAACGCCTTGCACTCAACGTGAAATCTTGCGAAAGTTTATCCTAGCGTAGGATTGAGGATACCCTAGTGCATGTCAGCTCGATATTAGTGGCAATCGCTCAGCTTGTCGCTGGAAATCGCACGGAAGTGATAACTTTCCATGTCGGTTTGATACAGGGTCCACGGACGCACTGATATCACGGTCAGGCGTTCGTTTCCCGAGACTCCGAGAAAAGGAGATATTGGAAAAAGGTAATCAAGCTGAGTCTTAGCCGGCCTAGACTGTCAAGAACGCTACACGAGTACTGAACGGCTGACGATTGCGCCCGCTCCCCTATGGTCTTGTCAATCCTGTTCGTGTACACCATCTTGCGCGACCGGAGCTTGTCTCAACTTTTTATTCATCATCACTAGACTCGATTGTACTCGAGCAACTGGTGCCTGGAGCTCGTGTATCATGGCCCGCCTCACACTATGGTTGCTTCTATGCGCCTTCGTCTGGTCTGCACGACAGGAAGATATGCCGCAGCTTGACTCAAAATCGCTGAATCTTCACCCCTTTCGTTACAACATGATAGTTAACACTACGGCCGACGATCCCGAGCTTGATAGATATCTTTGGAAGGGTATCAAGAACGAAGATGTAGTGCCAACGAGAACAGGAGGAAAGGTCATTACGTATAGCTTGCAATCGAAGTTGGGAAAACGAGCGGTAGGATTGCCTTGGATGGAACAGTGGTCACTCTCTGCTGACATTTCCCATCCTTAGCCTACATTCTACGGGCCGCTCATCAAGACTCCATGCCTTTTCTGCGGAAAAAAAGCCAGATCAGTTTCCAATGTCAACCTCGGTCAATTTACCCCAGAATCGATGATCCAAAGGATGAAATGGGGGGCTACATTTGGACAATGCTTATTCTATGGGCAACGCGCGAAGAAGTTCAAAGACAATCCAGATTACAGAGGCTCATCTTTATCGCGCTGGACCACTGATTGGGGTTGTGTTCAGCCCGTTATCAGGCAGGAATTTTTTCGTACTATTTGGGTCAGTAGCCAAAAACTTCAGACAACCTTTGCTAATGTATTTCTTACAGCAATTATGGCCAAATGAACAAGGCACCGAGCGTGACAGCTGCGAGACAGGGAATAATTACTACTGCTTGGACTATTCGAATCCCAGGTGCTGCTGGCTCAACGGACTCCTTGGTGAAAAGACGCAATGGAAGGACAACGGTATGAAGTACTTCAAGGCCATGTCCCGAGCTATGGCTAAAACGTGCTCTGGCGAAGTATTCGTCATGCTGGACAACAAGAAGATGCTTCTGAAACAATACGCCCATGCTAGCGACACTCCCTCCATCTGGCTGTACGACGAACTTCCTGAACTCAAGAACCTTTACAATCAAGGCGTAGTCACAAAGCTTACAGTGATACGCGTAGGGGACTTGAAGCGATTTGATCGAACAGGTTATGCATTCAGGAACGAGCCAGAACCTAGCGATGCTAGCGAAGGCGACGCCGGCGCGCCGCCTTCGGACGAGAACTCACGTCGAGTTCGCTCGCTTCCAGGAGACTACGAAAGCGAAGAGGAGATCACTGCGATGGCAATAACAATTGCAGAGGCTCTGAAGAGGAAGGAAGCAGAGCTCATACTGACTGGGGGAATGGAAAAGGCTAAATCCGAGATGTACAATCTGCAGAAGCGTGGGGTATGCACAAGTGCAGCGGACCAAGAAACTCCGGGTATGGACTGGTTCGGATGAGTACCTTGACGACTGATGTTTGCGTATCGCAAAATCTCCCAGGATGTCCATCCTTGCCCAGCTGCTGTTTTCTTAACATGGCGATACTCTCATCGTCCTGAACTTCGTCTTGTGCTATCAGTTCAATGGAAGAATGTACCTTGAATCTTTATACCTTGAGATCTGTCACGATCATCTTCGTATGCGATCAAGCGTGGTTTGACCCGTCGGCTGATGAAGCAACACTTGAACAACCTGACGACAGATTCAACCATGATTTAAGGCTAATCACTCAGCGATAGGTGTCGAAAGCTGCAATAGTCGTTATAGAGTATGTCTACCCATATATTACGTCGCAAACTCCTAATGTTTCGCGAACAGCATAAATTCCGATATTTGGTAGCCAAGCAGCGAAACCTCAAGCAACAGATAAAGTATAGCGGAGCTTCAGGTGCCATGAGACTCAAAAAAGACACTATATTGATTACAAAAGCATGATCTCACAAAGGAAAGTACACATCCAAATTCCCAGGTCGCGATAATTACCCGTCAGAGGTGCGGGCAGATCATTTCCCCACTAGATACCAATACAAACGTAGTATTGTGCCCACAATCCGGAACAATCCGTCTTCACGGCGGGGTTCCACTTGTAAAAGTCATCCAGAGCAATTTTGTTGTTGTTAGCAATGTCCCAGCAACCGTCTCCGGCTACGACCTTGTAGAACTTCTTGCAGCCCGTAATCATGCCTGGCTGTACCGGAGTCGGTGTGTTGGAAGCTGGCTTCGTTGTGGTTGGGACAGTAGAGGTCTTGAATGTTGAGGAGACCGGTGCAGTGAATCCGATTGTGTGGATGCAGACATTGTACCCGGACCATAGCTTCGAGCAGTCGGTCCCAACGTAGGGATTCCACTGATAGAAAGAGTCAAGAGGGATTTTCGCTGCTGCAGCGATATCATAGCATCCATCCCCAGCCTTGACGAGGTAGAAGCCGTTGCAGTTTGGAACCATGCTTGGCTGCACGGGCGTCGGCGTTGCGACTCCGTTGCCAGTAGACGTTATGACAGTGCTTGACGGCTTCACCGTCGTGGACGGAGCGGGAGTGAAGGTGGGCTTCGGCGTGGGTGTGCTGCCAATCAAGCCAACGCAAACATAGGTCTTGGTCCAGAGGCTTGTGCACTCAGTGCCGACTGTCGGGTTCCAAGAGTAAAACTCATCCAGAGAGATGGAGTAGGTGGACGCTAGATCATAGCAACCATCACCACTCACAACAAGATGGAACTTGTTACAGTTGGTGGTCATGCCAGGCTGGATCGGAGACGGAGTTGCAACGCCATTAGTCGGCGAAGGAGCCACCGTCGATGATGGAGTAGGCTTCGGCGGCGGTGGTACTCCCCAGTTCTGTTCGATGCAGTAGGAGTTCCCAACGACGAGCTTACATTCCGTGCCGATTGACGGATTCTATGACCGTTAGAGACTTTGCTAGATCTATGTCTACTATCAACTTACGTATGTCTTCAATTGATCTTCGCTGATATAGTTGTCCGTCGCGAGAGATGAGCAAGTATCGCTGGGTATCGTGACTACCCAGCCGCTGCAGTCTGATACAGTATCTGCCGCCGCTGTCGTTGGTGGGTCCACGAGATAGGCGTTGGCCAAACCCAAGGCGCCGAGAACGAGAACGGCTCCAAAGCTTGTAGATCTCATCATGGCAAGAAGTTTTCTTGAAAGGAATGTGATTTGCAATGAGCGATAAGTGGAAACGAATGATTTTTGTGATCGTCATTGAGAGGCACTGTATACGTCTTTTAACCCCTCGTGAAGAGGATCATGATAGATCCATTACTCTTCTCAACCGTGATTATCGTTGCCACCGGTACACAATTTCGCTTGAAGTACGGTCAGCAGATATGGTCCTGACCGAGTGAAGTCTAGAGAGTTGGCCTTACATCCAACTAATGCAGAGTGCGTCGTGGTCGTCACCGCGGTTTGAGCGGACGTTGGCGATCATCAACAGCTGTAGATGATATTGGTTATTTTTGGCCATGGCGTGTGTTCTATTTGCTGATATCCTGCCGGATACCAGCATACGTGGTGTGGACTGTAATCATGTGGTACTTGCAGCAGCGCAAAAACCCGGGATGGCACTGCTGCAGGAACGGAATGCCGGTACGTGGGAACTTGCGATGCAGGAGACGGCTGTTGTAAACAATACCAAAACCACTCTACTACTTGACGGCTTAGGAAGAAAGTACCAAACCTGCCATAGGTGCACTCAATTTTCCGTCCACAATAATCTTCGGGGTCTCCGGGTAAATCCTTCGAGATGTTGGCGAGGTACGGCCCGGGATAAGAGCGGCTAAGAGTACCTAAGCTTTTACCCAGTCATATTTGACCTCGATATTAAAGTGATGTTGGGGAATAAGGCGTCCTGCCCTATGTAGATCGGTTCCCACCCATGAACCACTGTGCTGTGTACCTGCATGACGGCTACGGAGAAGGCCAGGATGCGCGCAACCAAACCAGGTTCGCGGCATAATATTGATACAAGCTTACGCCAAGGTAACGACAAGCACACCTTCTTTTTCATCGCGAGATTAAGGGGTCACACCAACGAGCGTTCGGCACGGCGCGTCCAGCCGTCCGCAAGCCTGGAAGGACATATTCTTAGCGTTTCTCTATGCACAACGAGACGTGCCCCCACCTTGGCATGTGAACAATGGTTATTGACCCGGTCGGATAGAAGCAAATATCTGTGTGACCAGCTAGTCGCAAGGTGTTCTGAAGGTCCTGCGTTGCTCCAGAATTGCGATTGGAAGCTTGCTATTTTCAGGGTCTCTACGAGGCCCTCGATTATACGTTCTACCGACCTCTTGCATGAGGATTCACAATCATTGAAACTGTCCAAACTTTTCCATCGAGGACATAACGCTCATCACCATGCGGCTTCCTCGCTCGAGCGAGATTTTGTTATCACTGCTTTATTCCAACTCTGTTCTTGCCCAAGTTCAACTGTACAACTTCACTACCGCATCCACAAACTTCTCTTCAACATGTGTCGCCGTCTTGAACCAAGTGCAAAACTGTGATCCGTCACTTGAGTGGGCGGGTCGCGGAAGGTACGAAGCGGATGACATACTGCAAGCCTTGTGCACGGCGGCTTGCACGGCATCACTATCAACATGGTTGAAAAGAGCACTAGGTGCATGCACAACGCGATACGTTGACACTCAAGGCAATGCTATGCTTCCCGGTATCTGGGTCGAGTCCATACTCGAGAATTACAGTTTACTATGCCAGAAAAACGGGTAACATGAGAATATACAAAGTAACAGCGACATTGCGGGCTGACAACTGCAGTGACAAGTTTTGCAACGCCGTTGTTCGAGATGCAGCTGGTGTGAATCCTGAGAATCAATCGCAGACCAAATCGGCAGGTATGTAGTTCAGCAAAGCACGTTGAGCGGAGCTCACGATGACTACAGTTTCAACTATTACATGCGATGATTGCTTTTTGAAACAGATGCAAACACGCCTGCAGATGCCGCTTCTGTCAAACTCCGACATGGCAAAGACATTCACGTCTTTGACGTCGGCTTGCAAGAAGACTAGCCTTGTTGTCACACCGATTGCTGCCTCGACCGCATGGGTTACATCGTAAGTAATTGCCGAACCACCCGACCAAGCTAACATCGAGCAGCACAACAGGTTCAGGCGCGACGCCAACGCCAACCGGATGTACGGGTACAATGTATACGATTCGCAGTGGAGACACGTGTCAATCGGTCGCTGCTGCCCGCGGCATAAGTGTAGCTGGTCTTCTCACCGCCAACGGTCTTCAGGGCTTTTGCGCGAATTTTCCGACTTCGGGGGCACTTTGCATACCCACTAGTGAAAGATGCAAGACATACACGGTGAAGACCGGCGATACATGTGCCAAGATTGCTGATGTAAATAAGAAAGCATGGGTTCAGATCGTCTCTTGGAATTCGGTGCTTGGTGAGGATTGTGGAAACTTGGGGAGCTACATCGGGTATCCGATATGTGTATCTACTCCTGGTGGAGACTGGATCAATCCGAGTCCAGTACCCAGTACCTCGGAGGCGACAACACCGTAAGTCATTCAGAAAAACTGCATTCGCCTTCCCAAGAGTGATAAAGACGTGACGCTGACAAAATGTAGTCTTTCAAGTATGCCAGGAACTGCTGTCAGTCTACTCCCTCGTCCTACCAACACAGGCTTCATCAATGGTAGCGATGAATGGCACTACCAATACGGGAACGGAACTCGCCTTGACTGTATCACCTACGTCAATGGTTCTGACTTTGGTTCAAGCGCTTCATGCGCAGATGTCGCCAAAGATGCTGGCGTCAATTCCACGGATATCGCCGAATGGAATCAGTTAGAAGATCCATGCACGTTGGATGGTAAACTTACGTACTGCGTACAGCGAGTGAAACAAGATTTCACATCGGATGTGACTGAATACTGCAACCTTGAGGATACAGCTACGTATGGGATGACGTGTCAGCAGTTCGTTGCCTTATGGGCGATCGATTCAATGAGATTGAACGATTGGAACCCGGGAGTTGGGCCTGATTGCGAGAATTGGATGCCAGGTGAGTCACCAGTATATTGTATCTGCGAAACCATGTGATATTAATACCGTAAAGGACGCACCTACTGCGTAATGGCGCGCCATTTTCGCCAACCAGGTATTCTTGCAGCTTGTAGCAAGTTTGTCACAGCAAATGAGACTGGCCGTACGTGTATCATATCCCGCTATACCATTTACTCAAGTGCTCATGCTATTAGGGCTCTCCGATCCATGCGGTCTCATCGAACAGCCCAACGGCATTGCTCATGCACGCTTCGTCGCTTGGAACCCTGCGGTGATGAACAACTGTACGTTGATAACATACCACGCACTGACGGGATCGTCACTCTAACACTTTACCAGGTAGTGGTATCCGATATGGCTATGACTATTGCGTGAGTACGATTGGCTTCAAGCCAACGTACACATCGTACGTGGCACCGTGGGGCGCCACAACGGTGCCTTCTGCGAATACGATGGGAATGGTGGCCAACATGCTCGATGAGACTATGACTCCTGGTAGTTCATCATCTGAGCATATCTCGGTCAGTGCGAGTGTCAGGTCAGCGTCGAACGAGGCTACATCTTCTGCGACTGTGCAGCCACACTTTCACAAGCATAAAAGGGTGCACGGGCACCTGTAATTAGGCTCTCAATCTTCTTGCAAGTGTCCGCCTATACATCGATCGGTTACATCGAAGCTGCACTGTTCCTTGTAGCTATTCATACTACAATCATGTTAGACCAAACAACCAAGGGTGCATGAGTAATCATTCAGGCTCTTTGTTCGGCGAAATATGAAACCATCATAATCAACACAAACGCCGAAACACATAACATATAATAAACGCGAAAGATCTTTCATTGAACTTCCTCCTCTTGCATGTATCATCATGTGCTTCCTTACTACCCGTCGCGAGTCACGACAGCATCCTAACAAAGCGGCTATTGAAATTGGATCATCAGCACTAACCAGGAGAATACGCAAACCAGAAGAACTTTCCAGTCCACCACAAGGGCTACAAGATTCAAAGTCTGATGGCGCGATACAGGTAAGCTTTCGGCAGTCTCCATCTACAATGCAGCTTGCTTCAGTCTCGCGTGATGGAAGATCTCGTAAGACCTTATTTGGTCCTTCCTCGATTGTGCCGCTAGGCGTTGCAATTGTGAGTCCTATAGAGATAGTAGGAAGAAAGATCGAGAGACGCATGACGAAGACTTGTAGTAGTGCTAAGTCTTGGGTGGTTGAGTCGTCTGCTTGAGGGTTGTTACAAATTTGTTAGAGCAAAGGAAACTCCTCTGATGCTGTATATATATGTATGTCCAGAACCGAGACGGTAGATCAACTTCAACATGACTATCAGGTCGGATTCTCCTGTGACTACGTAATTTCTGATCACTAGGTCTTAGAGTAAGACTGCTAGCTTTCGCTAAGACAATCGGTATATCGGGGCCTTTAGAATCGGAAACCAGGGTATGCTGAACAGGCTGGCTGCAAGTGATACGACCTCGGGACCCAGCCGGCGCTACTCTACGGGAATGTGCTTGATGCTTATGTGAGCACTAGTAGTCCCTTAACACACGAAGCATTGATTAAACAACACGTGGGGAAAGCATTCTTTTAGTCTAGTCTATGAAACACTTTTTTCTGCTGTTCTTGGCGCGCCCATCGCGTCTCCCTCCTGTCGTTGTTATCGTCCACTCCATCGCACCCTATGGACTGTCAACCGTCTTAAGTATGATGCGCGTATCCAAACCAGCTGTTCTTGAATCCACCTACCGCGCGTGAGACTCGATGCAATTTTCGCGAAAGCGCGCAGCTCCATCCGTTGGAGTCGTCTGCGGCGCTCCTGAGGCTGCAATGTGTCACATGCCAACCCGCAAAAGTTTCGAAACTGTCAAAGCCTCCCAAAAGCGTATGACGCAACAACACAGAATGCTTTCGTGGACGGAATGTGTTGATCCTTGAATTCATGAAAGCGGGATCGGTACTTGGCAGAACTTTTAGTTTGGATGCTAGATATGGAGATGATTATAGGGTGCTTTTCCCGCTCAATACGAGAAGGCTTGTCTACTTGCGGGGAACAGGACTCTGTTTTCTTTCATCCCATTCAAACTCTCTCGTCAGAGTGATTCCCCTTTCTCTTCTATCGTTTGGAGGCGACTCGCTTATCCGAACCTCGCTCGATGCCTTGCGTCCTGCATTAGGACACTCTCCATGCACATGGGTTGTTGTCAGACCTATCTCATCTTCATCTAACCGAGATTTACCCCATGGCTCATGATCTTTATTCGATCTCATCCATAACTTCCTGTCGATTCGAATCTCCGTTTGAGTAACTGTGGTGCCCTCCAACGTATTGTTGACCTTTATCTTCCGCGTGCGCTTTTTAGAGATCGTTTCGAGTGGATCTAGCGAGTGCGCAGGGGATTCAACGTGATGCGAGCCTTTGAGCGTGGATGGTAGTCTCCTAGAGAGCACATCCGTGACTTGCAGAAGCAGCGGGCGAAGGGTGGGCAGGCAACCGGAGATGATGCCGACCGAGGGTTCTACTGAAGACCAGATGAATACATCACTCTTAGCCCAGCTAATGTCTGTTGTCCTAACAAGGTGAACGATAGTGATGATGCGGTACAACGACGCAAAACAGACACTGGATAAGTCAGTGAGTCTTCATTGCATGAGCTCGCTGTGGTCCAGGACTTACAAACTGCCGAGTAAAAAGGTAAGAATTACTGCGACCTTTTGTGATCGTCCCATATTTAGCTTGAGCACGCTTTGTACAGGTATCGTAAGGATGCAAACATCTCCGAAAAGATTGATGATGCCGATACCAAGATAGAACTGGAGTCTTGTCAGTTGCGAACTGCGATTCTGCTTGGAGGAGAACCCACCTTTGCCTCGTTCACCAGTACCACGCCTTCTCCACCGTACCACTGATTCCAGTAGTAGTGCAGTGGTCGTGTATACAGTGGTAGAACGACGTGGTTAGTGATGAAATAACCGGCAGTGAGGACGACGCAGAACCAGCCAAGCCATGTCATTCCAAAAATTCGACGATATAAAGCCAGAATTGAGAATTTGATGACACACAAACTCCATGTGTAGATGTACACATACGCGAAAGTGATCTAGCAGCTGTCAGCACTGATATACTGTCGTGCTATAGGAAGCAACAACGCACTATCGTGATTTGTCGCATTTCATACGGTCCCAAAGACCATATGTGCTTTCCCAGACCGAAGAAGCCCCCTGATGTTGATGTCAGCAGATGTCGCAAATTTTCTAAGATCGAGTACTCTACCTGCGATGCAGCAAGCCAAATTGCCAGCATTCAAAGCCAGCCCAAGAAACATTAGATAGTCGTCCAGTCCCAGTACCTCACGTTTAAGACGCAGGCGAGTGAGGAGACGCAACGCGACGAAAACGAACGAAAGAACAAAAAGCACAATGCCGATAGCATTGTTGGAAGCGGTGCGTGACTCCGACAAGTCAATACCAGGCGGAGGGTTAGCAAAGTAGTCAAATGCCATGTTTCCAGGCTGGTTGCGTTGAGGTAGAACAGGCCGGAGTGACAAACGTCAAAACTGTGCAACGGGCTTCGAGCCTTCAACACTGATTTTCGAATCACACACTCAATACACCGAACGCATCAGTGCAGCACGATATCGAGCAGGGTACGGCACCGAGTCACAGAAAGCACTTGGCAGCGGATATTTCCCGAAGTCGGTACGATTGAGAAGCCAATCGGTATAGTTTCCTGTGGGACATGAGTGTTGCGCAGCCAGAGAAAAAGAGTCCTCACGAAAATCTGTAGCTAGCTCAGGCGGAGATACCGTTTGCATTGACTACATATATTCAGGGTTAAAACGCTCCGAAGGGACGTGTGGTGTGACGGGCCAGGTACTTGCTGCATATCATCCTATCACAAGTAACGACAGTGTGGGGTTCCTCGTATGGGCTTGCGGAAAGGATGAGGAAACCCCGGATCGGGCCTACCAAAGCCACTCGGGCCTTTTTAACTGCGCGGGAGATAACGACGTGCCGCAACCTTTTCCGGTAGTAGATCGTCTTAGTGGGCACCATAACCCGTGAAATCTGGGCCACACCAGCTCTCCTCTCCACGTTCTCTACACGTTGCTTGACTTGACTCAACCAATTGCCATCTTCGACATCACATTCCAACAACATGGCGCCTAAAGAAACCAAGTTCAAGGTGGCTGCGGCTCATGCTGCACCTGTTTTTATGGACAAGGCGGCCACTATCAAGAAGACTGTTCGGCTCATCGAGCAAGCGGCGAAAGACGACATCAAGCTCCTGGTGTTTCCTGAAACTTTCATCCCCGGCTACCCCGTACGTGTCCCCGCTCTTAACGTCAAGGTTAAAAGTAATCCTAATCGTTACCACAGTGGTGGACTGAGTGCTACCCACCCCTCAAGCAGGTTACTGCTTTGGCCAAGTACGCTGAGGAGAGCGTAGTTGTGGAGCCAAATGGGGAAGACGTCAGCGCCATTCAAGATGCGTGTCGCCGTACCGGTGTAGCGATCAATCTCGGAATCTCGGAGCGTATCGCAAACGGTCATACACTGTTCAACTCGCAGGTCATCATCGATAGCGACGGCACTATCCTCGGCGTTCATCGGAAGCTCCAGCCAACCTTTGTCGAGCGCATGGTATGGGCTCAGGGCAACGGAAGCACACTGCGCAACTGGCCACTTTCTCTGGGCTACAACCTCGGAGGTCTGGCCTGCTGGGAGCATACTATGAACGGCGCACGCCAGGCACTCATCACACAGAACCAACACATCCATGCTGGAGCCTGGCCAGCCTTGTCGGCGATGGCCGGTTTCGAGGATGTCGCCAATGCGCAAATCGAAGCGCTGATGAAGACGCATGCTTTAACAGCCCAGGTCTTCGTTATTGCTGTTTCTGACTACGTCGACCAACAGTGCCTCGACTGGATGGAGACTAATCTTGGAAAACAAGATCTCGTGAAGCTTGGTGGTGGTTGGTCTTCAGTCATTCATCCGTTCTGCTCGTTCATCGCTGGTCCGCACACCGGTGGGGAGGAGAAGTTGGTACAGGGCGAGATTGACTTCTCACACATGGGTTCTGTAAAGGTATGGATCGATGCAGCGGGCCATTATCAACGTCCGGAGATTCTACAGTTCGGTTTCGACCAGCGTCCACACTGGGCGGATGAGAAGACCGATCGCTTCAAGGTGCGCACTGAGGAAAGAAAACCGGAGAGTAAGATTGAGTACCCCGCACCTTCGGAGGCTTAGTAGCTGCAGGTATGTTCTTGTCAGATAGAAAATGCATGAGTTGGCAATTGCATCCTTGACGTGGCGTCTTGTGCTATTTGTTGCTCATTAGACGTCGTGGAGGCTAAGCGACTCAGCCTCGTCGCAGCTGCATCACTGCCAATGAAATTCTCAGTGGGGTAAAACAGGGCTCTTCCTTTCGCAACATTCTCATATTTGCAGATATTCTTTCTGTCTAATTTCAGCATGACAGTCACTTTTGGTGCCGTAGACGATATCATTTCGGTCGTTTTACTCGTGAAAGATCTGGTAGCAACGCTCGACGAGGCTCGCGGCTCCAAGGCTGAGTACCAGGCTGCCATACATCAACTTTGGCTCCTTGACCGCACTCTGCTTGAGATTGAACTGCTCACTAGACAGCATGGAGATGGCGCTACGCCAGAGTTACGAGGCCTATGCGAGACAGCCAAGCGAGCCGTTGCTAGGTGCCATGACCAGGTCACGACCTTTTTGCAGCGCATTCGAAGCTACCAGGGTACTTTCGACCACGGTCAGAATCCGAATGCGCTCAGGGAAATAGGACATGCGATTCGTTGGAGAATTGGGGAGAAGGAAGCACTCGAGCGTTTTCGAGCAGAGCTAGCAGGGACTACATCGAGCCTTCAGATACTGATGGTGACGGCTAATACGTAAGTGGCAGAGTCATGGTAGGTAGATCCAATGTTGATATCTTACAGCACACTACTTCAGGTTAACCGAAAAGAGATGAAACACGACCTGGACGATGTGAAGTGCAGGAACGACATTACTACTCTCTCGCATAATGCATCCCTCAACGACATCAAAGACGAACTTAAGAACACTAATCGCAACATCGAGGCTGGAAACTCCATCCTTGGATGTCTATCGGAAGCTATCAAGCTTGAGTGGCTTCGGAACCTTGGTTATGAGCTCCTAGGATTGGTGCGAAGTGCTATGATGGTCAACTTTGCGACGTACCGTGCGGTCATACGAATACAAAATACACTTCCTAGTCACTTGAAACGAGGACTCATTGAAGAACCGGTGATTCTGGAAGATCCCATAGGTCGCATCGCTCCTGTACATCTACAATTCATCACTTCCTGGGATGCATTTCACCCTGTACTCGAGTCACGGTTCCAGAACATGCCAGGATATAGAAAATTGAAACAGCGAAAATACACATTGCAAGCTGGAGGTACGGGAAGAGACATTGAGTTATCACGGCCATGGCAACATGCTTTCCTGCCTGACCAGCGGATTGAGATGAGTTTCATCTTTGAGGACAGGAACGGCGGGACCACATATCCTGGATGCCAAAACCCATCGGAACATCCCGTTGAAGCAGATACACGCTGTTCGATTTGTGGGCTATCGTTTCGAAGAATCCAAGAAGATAAAGACATAAGTGATTCTAGAGAGATTGTAGCTCCCCTAAAGAATTTTGAGTCTACTGATCGCGAGCGCACGAGACCATCGGACTTTATAGACGACGAACGAGTGACTAGCTTCAAACGCGTGAGACTGGTGAGGAAGCAGGCGATAACATCTGGGACTACATTACCATTCGGTGGTTTAAGTTCTGAGCAGATAATTGGGTTCGTCCGGGTTCACAAGGTTTCGATGGAAGCTGGGAACCACGTGGCTCTTGATATCATTTCAGGTGTTCAAAGGAATGAATTACCGAACTGGAGTCAGACTATACCGACAAGGTTCAAACGGCCCAACCGGTCCAACCGGTCCAAACGGTCCAAACCGGTGATCCTAAACATCGACATCCGCAATGATTACCACGGTTGAGTAAGAACGTACGGTTTCAATTCTAGTGTTTTATGTACAGTCACAGTGGAGCTTTCTTCATGTACGAGTTGTAGTTACTCAACTCAAAGCGGTCTAGAACAACAGCAATGACTTGGATCCTGGGGCTGACCGAAGTCCCGAGTAGCAAGGCGGTAATATACTCACAAATCTCTACTCGATCGTAAACTAGCATCTATTTATGATCATTGAGACCAAATTTTCTGCAACTACTACTAGAACATCTCCATTGGGCTACTTGCTGAAGGAAGACTCTTTGCCAACATTAGGTTATCCTCGAAAGTGGCGCCAAATAGATCGCACTTGTACCCAAGGTCTACCCGCAAACTTCCGACAGTCTCACCTACATACACCACTCCTTCTCCTGCACAGCCTTGCACCCATCCTTTCCGAGATACCAGTCATCACAGAGCGTATTACACTCAACACCCGGCTTCACAAACACCCTCCCTTCCTGGCTTGGATCACCGCTCGGCGTGCCATACCATGGCAGACGCCACTGCACCTCCATGTTGTTGGCCTCATACCCGGTCGCGCCTATTCAGATGTGTCAGCGTTACATGCCGATAGCAAAGAGAGGATGATTGAAGGTTTCGCTGGATGGAGCTAGACGTACGATAACCGTGGCGGCAAGCGCAGTAGTATGGGCCAGGTGTATGTGGGTCGTCGTGGCCCCAAACATACGTGCACGACGTAGTAATGTCGCACCTGTTTTCATTGGGTGTATAGACGCATGTCTCGCAGACGGGTTCGTATGGTGGAGACAAGGCAGCAGTAAGGGTGAGGAGAGAGGAGATTGCTGTGATAGTGAAGACCTTCATGATGATGGATTGAGCTTTGGGAGGAAGTGTAGATGCAGTTGCTGTTACACTGTAGAAAGTGATGCGATTAGACAACAGTGAACAGATGAAAGCTCTTTCTTTATACCTCAACTTTGCCATCTCAGCTGCGCGGCTTCGACTTCAGCATCATGCTCCGCTTATGCGGCTGCATCAATACCAAGAATCTATATACAGCATACATACAGAGTTCAATAGTCTGCTCTTCCTGATTTGTCGCCCAGTACGATGGCTGAACGTCAAGCTGAACTATAGTGATTGTACAAGACCTCTTGATTTCGTACTGCGAGACAGTCGTGAATGCCAAGCTCTGGCCTGCTAGTCGCTAGTGAGGTTGTGAGCACACTTCGGTTTGTCAGACCCTACGATGCCACTAGAAGCCAACTGGTGAAAAGCCGCCGAGAAGTAAATTTAGCAAGACTGGTCGAGTTGACAATCTCGTGATGATGATCTACTTAGTCATGAGACCTCGTGTTGCTTCCCCGCATCCTTCAGCTTGCTGATGAAGCTGGGGAAACACGAAAGTCAGTAGCTTGGGAATAAAGCATGATCAAACCAGACAAATCATTCGAATGTGCGCGAATGCGAAGAGCTTGAAATAGTAAATGTGTTGCTAGATTGCATGACCAGAATAGCTGGTGTTATCGAACTCCCAAGACGCCATACCGGATCAAAGAAGACATGCGAAGACGGTTCGTCGTATCATCATCTCTTTCCCTTCTTGAGTACCAAGCCTTTCCAGCCCTTACTATCCTTGATCCGCCTGAGCGCTTTGCTTGCAACTGGATCTTTAGCCAGATCGTCCAAGCAAGCCTTCTTCTCCTCTTCGCTTTCGTGCTCGTGGAACTCGCACCATTCCTTCTCCATTTTTGGTCGCTCGCCCCTCGCTAACATTGTTACCAACTCGAACAAGAAAGCTTGCGGAAGCTGACTCCGCAGGGCTATCGTGCGCTCGTCATCGCGGTCGGGGTTCCAGTACACGGAGTACATATCGAGGAAGTATCGGCAGAGCGCTGCGTCTGGTGGTAGGCTCTCGTAGGCGGCGATGACGTTGCTGTGATCGGGCATTACTTGTAGGATCTCGTCGTTCGTTTGCCATGCTAGCAGTACCGCGCGGCGTAACTTCGGGATGGCATAGCGATGTGCGAAGACGTAGAGCGATATGAATCTGCGCTCCAGGAAACCTTCCAACCCCCTCCACTTGTATGGTCTTGAGCAGCATGGGCATAGTGTCTCTTTTGGTATCTCGGGCTTCTCGGCGGGGTTTCGTGGAGGTGGTACCACGGCAGCCTTTTCAGGTTCAGCATCACCAGGCACTTTCTCCGCACTAGGTGCAGGACTCGCTGCGGGTTCGGCGTTGGCGGGTGAGGTGTCTGACGCTGCGTCGTCGGTCTCTAGGGCGATACCCCACGAGGCAGTGTCCACATCGTCGCTCTCGTTCTGTTCAGTAGTGCTCGCACTGTCGCCCCCGTTCACGTTGACGGCATGGGTTGGCGGGTGCACTTCTTTCCCACCTTCGATTAGATGATGTGGTATGAAGCCGGTATATAGCCATAGCATAAAGGCATCGAACACGTCAGGGCTGGTGTCGTCGAGTTCAAGAGTGGTACCCGATTTCTCGTACGGTGAGTCACTCTTCTCCTCTAAGCACGTGTTGAAGTACGGCGAGCATCGTCGCAGTAGTTCGCGATGGCAGCTGAACGACTCGGGGTAGTCCTTTCCACCAACTTTTACAGTAATTATTGTCTGATCAAAATTTCTGCCTCTGGTTAGCGGTTCAGCCTGACGAATCTGAAAGTGAAAGGGGTACTCACCTGAAAGTGTGGCCGAGTGTTGTCGCACCCTTGGAGTGCATGAAAGGCATTTTGAGTAGATAGTCAGGTTCCATTCATTGACGACCTACTGTGGATTATATCGCCATTATATCTCTATCATTCTGGACGGGTAATACGGAGAGCTCAGTTTCAGCAACCGTGACAGATACATCTTGGCGTTCGACCTTGCAGCGGTTGAATGCTTGTGCGAGCTTCAATGTATGGTAAGAGGAGGCTTAAGCGGGGGAACGTAGAGCTTAATTGAAACTTGTAGGTACAAGAGGACGAGTGACAGCTGGGCTCATCTGGGCGATCTTGGAACAAAGTAGGGGTAATGTCAAGTCGTGCGGGAGAGCATGAGTTTGATAGCCGTTTCACGATGCTTGGCGGGGAAAGCATGCCTCAGCCGACGCCTGGGCAGTTCAAGATCTTCACAGCGGTGAAGCTCAGCTCAGGACCCCCATGCATCTTCCCTTGCGAAGGCATGAGTGATGCGGCGGGGTGGCGCTGGCGAAGGAAGTGGATGAGGTTGGAGTGTAGGAGGGTTGAAGCGTGGTTGGCGACGCGTGGAAGCGTCCCCGCGTCTAGATCCGTGCACACGTTGACCCGCTGCATCAATGTTCCGTCTGAGCCACGATGGATCTTCAACACCAATCTAATTTCATCAGCAACGAGCATATTCTACAATCAGGTTGATCTCCGAGCATGTGCTGACGTCGATTCCAGATCCTGTCGCCTAGCATACCCCGCGTCTGTACGATGTCAGCCCCCACTTCCAACACAGCCCTCAGTATTTAGTGGGAGCCATATCATGCCATTACAATATGCTCCAGCTGTCACTCAATTTGTGCTGCGATAATCGACGATGGCTTCTAAATTCGATACAGAGATCTACCCAGGCAATATCATCAATAATCAGCTTGTCCCAACTCCTGAAACGCGGCATTCCATCAACCCAGCCACCAGCCAGCCACTCTACGAAGTGCCAATAGCCAGGGAAGAAGATCTCGATACCGCTGTTACCGCAGCGCGCAAAGCATTCAAGTCATGGAGCTCAACACCCTTCTCCGAGCGAGCAAGCTTGCTCCTCAAATACGCAGACACAATAGAAAGCCACCGCAATGATTTGGAACAACTCCTTACCAAGGAGCAAGGCAAGCCACTTTCGCTATCAAAAAGCGAGATTGACATGACATTGACATGGCTACGTGCCTTCGCCACCATGGAGATCAAGGACGAGATTCTGCAAGAAGATGACGAGAAGATTATTTACTCAACCCATCCGCCAATCGGAGTATGCGCAGGCATCGTGCCCTGGAACTGGCCTATTCTGCTTGGGTTGGGCAAACTAGGTCCGGCGCTGATTACAGGAAATACCTTCATCATGAAGCCATCGCCGTACACACCATACTGCGATCTCAAGCTCGGCGAGCTGGCGATGGAAGTCTTCCCACCAGGAGTTGTGCAGGTACTCAGTGGGGACTACCGACTGGGTCCGTGGATCACTGAACACCCTGGTATCGACAAGATCGCTTTCACAGGATCGATAGCAACAGGCAAACTAGTTGCAGCATCGTGTGCGAAGACGCTGAAGCGGTATGTCTTGGAGCTAGGCGGCAATGATGCGGCGATTGTGTGTGAAGATGTGGACATTGATAAATGCCTTCCGAAGATTGCAACGCTAAGCTTCCTCAACTCAGGCCAGATCTGCATGTTGACAAAGCGCATCTACATTCACGAGAAGATATACGATTCTTTCCGTGACAAGATGGTTGAATTCACGAAGAATAACATCAAGACCGGCGCTGGCACGGAAGATGGCGTTGTCGTAGGACCTATACAGAACAAGATGCAGTAAGTACCATCTTCCCTTGCTCAATCAGCTGCCGCTACACATGATTTACCCTGTTCAGGTTCCACAAAGTCAAGAACATGTACGACCAAGTCACAACGCAGCAGTGGACCACCGCCCTAGCAGGCACTGTAACTTCATCCCCCAACGGCTACTTTATCACCCCCGCGATTATCGACAACCCACCTGAAGACTCTCGTATCGTCCAAGAAGAGCCTTTTGGCCCTATCGTCCCTTTACTCAAGTGGAGCGATGAAGATGACGTTATCGACCGGGCGAATGCGCTGAAAACAGGATTGGGGGCATCAGTCTGGAGTAAAGACCTTGCGCGCGCAGAGGGAATGGCAAGGAGATTAGAAGCGGGGAGCGTCTGGGTGAACTCGCATTTCGATGTTGATGCCAGAGTACCGTTTGGCGGGTGGAAGGAAAGTGGTATTGGGATGGAGTGGGGAATGGAAGGCTTGAAGAGTTACACCAATAGCCGGAGTTTGTGGGTCTGGAAGAAGGTTTTTGAGTAACTGGTGAGTACGCTGTTGGGGCAGCAGATGAGAAAGTACGTATCTACTTCGCGACATCTCGCCACCGAGATAGCCAAGCGAGATTACCTTGTGCCACCTCAGTGTTACTCTTGAGTATACTCTTGGAGCTCATGTGCTTGAAACAGTGTGGAAATACAACGGATGTTGTGCACGACTGGTGGGGGAAATATTTTCCGATGCATGTTGTGTCGAATCACAGCTGACCTCTTCTACCGCCAATGCCGACTTGGCGTAATCCCGGCTCTTGTTTAGCAACACTAGAGGTATTGGCACTCGAACGCTTTACAGACTCGCCCATTACAAGCTTACTTGGTATTTCCTCTTTGTTAGCTCTTCTGGGGTACAAGTGCGGTAGCTTGTTTCGACCAGATTAAACACGGAAGGCGCTCGACATAGCGTCGCTAGCCATTCCGCTGGCACATACGGTAGTCATGTTCTCCGCACGACCTGAGAACACCATGTCTATCCATATGTTTCACAGCAGCCGGCGGTACTGACAGGTTAGGTCAAGTCTGACGCAAACATGAGATGCGGAGGAGATAGCCAAGCAGTGCTCTGGTAGGTAATCTAACCTTAAACCGGAGCAAAGTTAATTCCTCCGCAAGTCCCGGATGTGTGCACATGGTAACGTGGATTCCTCATAAAGAAAGCGTGAGCTGCACTGTTCGGTGCGCACAGCAGATCCAGTTGGATTCCACTCTTTATTCGACATGCTTTCTTCGTTGAAATACCTCCTTGGAGGTGCGTTAGCCATCTTGTCCATAACCCCGAGCGTCAATGGACAGACCTATCCCGGCCCGGGTGCGGTCTCAGGCAGCACTTTTGCCCATGACCCAACGGTAGTCAAGACGCCGAACGGCCAGTATCTCATGGCCTATACAGCACCCGGCATCGCCCTCAAGACGTCCTCCGACCGCACCGTCTGGCGGGACGCCGGTCTTGCCTTTACCAATGCCAACGCCCCATGGACGCAACCATACACAGGCGCCACGAACGAGAATCTCTGGGCCCCAGACCTTTCGTACCACAACGGCAAGTACTACTTATACTACTCTGCCTCGACTTTTGGCTCGCGCAAATCCGCCATTTTCCTGGCCACCAGCACCACGGGCGCAGCAGGCTCATGGACAAACCTCGGTGTCGTCATTGAAACGAATGCGAACAGCGCTTACAACGCCATCGACCCCAACCTGATTGTCGACGCTTCCGGAAAGTGGTGGCTGTCTTTTGGTTCCTTTGGAAACGGGCTCAAGTTGATTTCCATCAACCCGAGCACCGGCATGCGCTCAGGCACCAGCATGGTTGATATTGCTAGCCGCGGAAGCGGCGGTGCCATCGAGGCACCCGTCATTGTGAGGAACGGCAACTACTACTATCTTTGGGTCTCGTTCGATAGGTGTTGCCAGGCTGCTGCTAGTACCTACAACATCAGGGTCGGCCGATCGACTAACGTTCAGGGCCCGTACGTTGACCGCAACGGCGTCAACATGATGTCGGGTGGCGGTACTGTGGTCTTGGCATCTCATGGTACTATTCGTGGACCCGGTCACAACACTGTCTTCAAGGACAACGATGCCGATGTGCTTGTCTACCACTACTATAGGCAGTCTGATGGCCAGGCACAGCTGGGAATTAACCTTCTCCGCTATGACAACGGTTGGCCCGTTGCCTATTAAGTAAGGAACGCGTCGCAGGCTGTGCATTGCTACTTAACGCTCGGCCCTGCGTTTCAATGAGCCTGCTGAGCTCTTGAAGACACAGGCGGAGGCGATGATTTTCTCCCCAGATATTTTTACCATTGTACATAGCTTTTGGAATCGTACATATTCATACTTCCACTGTAAGCTGCGGTATTCACCAAATTAGCCATTGATGTTTTGAGATGGAGGTTCTTGAGTAGCTTGTATCTGCGCTGTTGAAGCTATGAGCCAGAGGTGTGTAGTGGACGTAATGTTATCTCGTAAGTCAAGCCTTGCCGCCCCATTCTCTCCACCACTCGTACAGTGCGATACCACCTGCAGTTTGAACATCTGTCGAATATATTAGCGCGTAGTCCAAAGGTAGGCCAAAGGCTTTCGAAACATGCCGACTTACTCAAACTCCTGGTAACTCCCACAGTCTTGATCTCGACATTACGATCGATAACAGCAAGCACTTCCGCTGAGATTCCTTCCTTCTCACTGCCGAGCACTAGACAACACTTCTTCGGCAGCGTACCAATATCCTGACTCCTACTCTCCCTCTTGATGTACTCCATATTCCCCTCATGGTCGCTCACCACATGACTTTCACCGCCCTCAGTCCCCAATATCCCACTTCGATCCGTCTGTTCAATACCGACAACCTCATATCCCTTACTTTTTGCATCTAGCAGGAACGCCGGCACACTAACCTCCTTCAACTCCTTGATAGACAAATGCTTCTCCGAGCGCACACTAGTAGCTTTGAAGTCCTTGTGCGCGACTTTCTTGAGGTCGTCAATGTAGAGACTCTCGAGGCCAAACGACTCTGAGATACGTGACAGACCACCAAGATTGGTAGGGTTGTCTATCAAGGACGCTATGAGCATGACAGATGCAGGACGTTGGTTTTGGGCGGCAGGTGGCCCGCTAGGTGGGTGGAGGTTGTCGAGATCGATGCCAGCTTTGGTTTGGAGGGTAATTTGGCCGCTTGGTTCAGGTTCGGAGGCAGCCAGAGTTACTGCTGGTGGTGTGACGATGTCAAAGCTATTTCTGGTCTGTTTTCCGAGTTGTATATGTGCCGAAGGTCGGTTCGCATGGTTTGACTGATGCTCATGCTCAAGTACCTCGAAGTCTTCGCGTGTGACGACCTCCTGTTCCGGTGTCTCGATCGACAAGTACCGTCCCTGGAAGATGCCTGCAAGGGTAAAGTCTTGTTCGATGTCGACCTTCAGTGTTCTTATTGTCCATGGAGAAGCATTAAACTTGTCCAGTCGCCGGATAAAAGCATTCATCCCCGCGAACGCAGTGTTCTCGACAACGTCTTTCCAGCCCTTGGTGATGGCTAACTCGAAAACCAGCGGGAAAGCAAAATTTGCTTCGTGACGAATCTGGACCTTGGGGCTAGCAGAGTACGCATTCAGTTCAGTAATGAGCTTGATAGCAAAGTCCTGTGACTCGTATGGAGCGACGAGGAGACCCAGTTTGATTAGACTAGCGATATGAATAGGGCTGTACTCTTCCAGGTCTCCAAGCTCTTTAACGATTCGAAGAGACTTGCCTGGGAATTGACGGTAGATGCGTGCGATGGTCCATTCGAGCAGGTAGCGGTACCTTGGCCATGATTCTAGCGTCAAGGCGTGTGTGAAACCGTCGAGATAAGCGTCTACGTCGGATTCCATCACACAGTAGTGGCTCATCAACAGCATCGACTGTAGCTGGAAGGTCCTCTTCCATGGGCTCTTGACAGCGACTGGTGGTTTCTGATCCTTCCAGGGCTGTAGTAGCTGATCGAATATCCTTTGGCCAGTACTTGTTTGATCTTTTGGGAAACGTCGCAGAAGGTCTATAACAGCCGCGTGTGCGTGCCATTCTCGCATACCATAATACGAGGCATACGTTCGATGCGGTAAGTATCGTTGTAGTTTGTCGGCAGCGGCCACTTCGAACAAGAACTCTGGTCTGATCGATGCCGGGTCGTTGACAAAGTCAAGAATGTAGCCTTCAAAGGGAAGTATGGATATGATGGACGGATTCGTGAACGCAGCTTTGCGCAGTGTTTGAGCCAGCACTGCTAGAACGTATGACCTTCCCTTGGATAGCTTCGTAAGACGCAGCATGGCTTTAGAGAGGAGTGAAGTGAGGTCTGACTCCAAGCCGCTGTCTTCTTGACTATTCCTGGCACAAACATCGATGCATGTCGGGTGGAATAGCAACGGTGGTAGATGTACAGCGAATGGTCGGATGAAGTCGCGGATTTCCGCCTCTTCCCAAAGTGCTGCTAATATAGTATGTAGATCGTTGGGGTCGACGTTGATTGCGTCCGTCCGGTCGAGCAGCTCAACCATGGCCTTGCAAGCTGGTGCAAAGGCTGGACCTTGAATGCAGCTATGTTTCGAGTCGTGAAGATCGCTCGAGAAAGACTCAAAAGTGGGTATACCGCCATTACTTTCGGTAATAGATGCTGGTAATGCAGACTGGTCTACTGGGTTTTCCAGCTTCTGGCACTTGGCACGTAAACTTTCATTGGTGGGTATACCCGTCGAATCTAGATCAGGGTCGAGAAGATCGCAGAGCTTTCGACAGTGGATACTGTGCAAGTCACTTGCTACCTCCGGCATGCCAGGCAGTCGCGACAGATTTAATATCTCTGTGATCTCTGAGATATCCAGCTTGTGATGTGAAGTCCTTCGTTCGCATCTCACCTTTAGGCCTTCAATGAGACCATGTAGCAAGTACAGTATTGCTGGTTGGAACATCTTACCACCAGCATTGAAGATATAGCGAACAACTCCGATGACAATTGCCCGACCATTACGGTTGTCGATGCCAGCCTCGGTAACGTTGTAGTTGACTGAAGGGACGAAGGACGGGCTATCTTCTGTGTCGGATACGAAGTGGGAAATGACAGCGGCGAGCCTCTCTCCGTGAGCGCACTCTGTGGATGATCGTGTGGTAGTAAGCGTTGACGTAAAGAGGCCCCCATCCATTGCCCAAGGCAGAAATCCATCGAACAGAAAGTTGATATGACCGTTCAAGTCACCACGGCGCTGCGGGGCGAAGATCAGCACGAATCAAACTATACAACAGTAGGGAGACCTTGTTTTGACCGTACTCCGTGCATAGTCGATATGTTGTTGTACAGCCGACACAGTTTTGCCGAGTGGTATTAACCACCGAGAAGATGAGGAATGTTACTTACCTTGATGACAAAATCCATGTACCAACCACCAATCATCTTTCTGACGCTCTCTTGAATCAGTGGATTCAAAGCTGCAGTGAGCAGCGTTGTTGCCATTGCAGGAGTGACCCTGGAAAAACCTGTTGGCGAAGAAGATCCAAGAAGGTTTGTCATGGATTTCAAGCAATCTTCGACTTGGCCAGAATACCGATGTAGCACGATCGTTTCAAAAAGTGTCGAGTACAGATCGTACTGCTCACGGTCTTCTTTGCTAGCATCATATCGCATCGTTGGTGTATCGATGGGACTAGAGGTAGCGAGGAAAGATTGTCGAATGATTCCAAGACAGTACTTGCGCTGATCAGCATGTCCCTTTACAAGACCCAATCTAAGCTTTCTCCAGTACTCCTCGTCGCTTACGCAGTCCAACTTGATGCCACCGGAAACAGCAAGGGAGATCCATTGGAACCAAGTCCGATAGATCTTGCTAGAGCGAGCGGCGAAACATGCCATGTCGAGAGCGTTAAGTCGGTCCCATATTGACTGATCCACAATGTCGTCGAGATGGGCGAGCGAGTCATCCTTCTTGCTCTTTAGCAGCGAAAAGAAAGCGGATAATGTATCATGCGCTGTGTCATCGAGCCTGTCGATGCCGATGAAATTTGAAAGAAGAGGGAGAGTCCAAGGGTCAACCATGTGTGCATACGCGGCTGGTATCCAGAAGGAGCACTTGAGAAATTCAAGGTAAGCCTTCGCACAATGGAGACTATCCGGATGCGGTTCGCTAGATGACAGATCTTCAACCAGAGTAGAAAGCCTGTGGTTGAGCTTGGAGCTGAGGAGCGAAGCGGCGAATGACCCGTGGCTATGGCATATCTCAGCAATCTCGTATAGATTCTGGGATGCCTGTTCGTCAACTAGACAGTCTAAGACGGTATCCCATAGTTCTCCATGCTGCGAAGTGTCGCCCCCTTCTTGATCAGCGCTTTCGGTGGGAAGCAGTCGCACGCAAATATCGAGGGCATTGATGTCGACACCGGGCGCGGCTTTTAATTTGGCCAGACTGCCTTCAAACGCTGTTTTCCTGGTTTGCTCGTCCAAGAGACTGAGCACCGCAGCCGTAGCCATGGCTGATAGGCCTGATAGGCTTGAACTTTATGGAAATGAGCAAGGCTTTGCTGGTACGGTTCAGGACGGGTGTGGTGTTGCTAAATGCATTGTTAGAGTTCACGTTGTAGGGTCGACACCAGTCACATTTTGCGCCCGCTTCAGATGGAAAATTTAGTCGCTACCTAGGTACGGCCATGCGCAACTGGCCGGAGCAGCATTCTTGACAACACGATTCCAACAACACATGGAACAGACGACGATACATGCGAAAACGCCAGGAAAGGCAGACGGATGCTTGGTGCGGACATGAATGGCAGAGGGCTTCACCGTATATTGACGCCTTATGCAGCAGGTGACCGGAATCTTGCTTTTGGCCTGGCGGCCCAGTCCCTGTGTAGGTGGAGAGAAGACGAGAAAGACTGTGGGTACACGCCGGAAGCACACGTGCACTGCGGTATGAAGTCTCGTCAATTGCAGCCTTTTGGTCCCGTCGCGTCGCGCTGTGATGGCGCGCGCGCGTGTGTGGGGAGCTTGGCAGTGACGTGGTATCGATCGCACACGGCAACGGGGTGTTGACAGAGGCCAAACATTGGCCGCGAGTCATGGGCAGAGCGATCCGTGCAGCACATGCCAACACCGCCTATGCACCTTGTATACATACACCGGTCGCAACAGCTCTGGGATTCTTGCTACCTCATATTAGACCATATATTGGACTACAGAATGTATCCTCTACACACAACAGCCTCGGCGCCTTCAATGCGTGCCTCGGAAGCCTCGTTTCTTCCACATACACCCGCACCCATGAACGATGATCCCGGAAACGTCAAGGTCGTGGTGCGATGCAGAGCCTTTGTGCCGAGAGGTAGGGTTGCCAATGCTCAATCGATGCACCCAGACGCTGATGAAAGCCAGAAAAGGAGAAGGGCACAAGATGTTTGATCCGCATGGACCCAGCGACGCAAAAGACAACTCTCTATGCGCCCGAAGAGGGCGAGAACAACGGACGCCGCGTCCTTGACGACAAGGAATTCACATTCGACCGCTCGTACTGGTCCCACGACGAGAGCGACCCGCATTATGCCCACCAAGAGGACGTCTATCGCTCTTTCGGCGAGGAGTTCCTCGACCACAACTTCTCCGGATACCACACATGTATATTCGCATACGGCCAGACAGGGTCGGGCAAGAGTTACACCATGATGGGCACACCTGACAATCCAGGCCTGATTCCACGAACGTGCGAGGAGCTGTTCGACCGAATCGCGCATGAACCGTCGCCCAACACAAACTACCACGTCCAGGTCTCGTACTTTGAAGTCTACAACGAGCACGTGCGCGATCTTCTCGCTCCAAAGACGACTCCGCCCATCTATCTCAAGATTCGCGAGAGCCAAAAGGATGGTGTCTATGTCCAGGGTCTGACCGAGGCTGAAGTCAAGAGCTATGCCGATGTTGCGCGCTTGATGAAGATTGGCGACACGGTAAGTTCCTCCTCTCGTGCTCTCTTGACTGAATGCTGACTACGAGTAAAGAGCCGAACGGTTGCCTCTACCAAGATGAACGACACCTCATCACGATCTCACGCCGTCTTCACGATTCGCCTCAAGCAAATCACCCACTCACTGCTCTCTGACGAGACCATCGAACGTACAGCACGTATGCGCCTTGTCGATCTCGCTGGTTCCGAACGAGCCAAGTCGACAGAAGCCACAGGAGCGCGTCTGAAGGAGGGAGCGCAGATCAACAAGTCGCTCACTACACTTGGTCGCGTCATTGCTGCCCTGGCAGACCCGCGAAGACATGGCGCCAAGGGAAGACGGCCACGAGAGGTTGTGCCATACCGTGATTCAGTCTTGACCTGGCTGTTGAAAGACTCTCTGGGTGGTAACAGCAAGACAGCCATGGTTGCCTGCATTGCTCCAGCCGACTATGACGAGACTCTTAGTACGCTCCGTTATGCCGACCAAGCAAAGCGCATCCGCACACGTGCCTTGGTCAACCAGGACTGCATGTCGGCTGCTCAGCGAGACGCCCAAATTGCAGAGATGTCGGAACAAATCCGCAGTCTACAAGTCTGCGTCAATGCAGCCAGCCAGCGTAAGAGGGAAGAAGCCACAGAGCTGGACGAGTACCAGAGGCAGGTGGCACTCATGCAGCGTCTCATGGAGGAGAACCGTCAAGTTTCCGCAGCAAAGATCAAGGCCCTCACGTCCGAAGTCGAAGAACTCCGTCCACTCAACGTAGCCCTACGCGCAGAGATTGATTCATTGCGCCGCCATCTCCAGCTTGCTTTGGGCGAGCTCAAGAACCCTATCGTCCTCCCCCCACCGCGGGAGCTTGGTACACCAGACTTCGACAAGGAGGAATGGTTGGGCGAAGGGGACGGTGAAGAAAAGGCAGTCTCTGATGATGAGGCCAGCGATGGTGACTCGGATTCTGGCTACGACGAGGGTGACCACGACGAATTGGCGCAGGAGTTGCACAACGAGGCGGAAGCATTCCTTCAGGATCTGGCCATGTTCCGCAAGAAGGTTGGCAGCGACAACGATCGCTTTGGTCTTCGCGAAACACTTGCTGAGCTTATTGGAGGACATTGAAGAAATTGGGCTTCTAGGGTAAAGGCGCAGAAATTGGTTACGAATGCATGAGCGACGGCGTTGGGTTTGGATTAGGTTCAAATGCAGTAGGATAGTATACTAGTATATAGCCGGCAAGAATAACGAGAGATATCCATAAGTGGTATTCAATTGTGCTACAGTTCATGTGTGGAGCTGATGTAAGGTGACAGCCTCGGTGGGCGCAAGCTATGACCTCAACCAAGAGCTCCATGCAGGCACACCAAGCCTCCGACAAGTTCGCGCCATGATACCCCGATAGTCGCGACCAACCATGTCCAAGCCAACAGCCAACTGGGAGAAGGTCGGCGACAAGTTCTACAGGAAAGTGCAGCTTTACCAGGCTGTCTTTGATCAAGACCTCGAGCTCGAGAACTACAATGTGGTGGGGGCGCCGTACAGCGGTGCTGTAGGTAGGTACGTCCCACCGTCTGCCGACGACTGCGCAAACATGTGGACAAGATGACTGATTCGAGCAGCCGTCTACCGCGATGAGGAGAAGCTGCACGCCTACCGTGGACCCGGCGCGTCCAAATCGAGCATCGACATCTACAGCTGCGCGGGCAAGCTGATTCGCACTATCAATGTACAGGGCCTCTACATACATTCGCGGAGACTATAGCATCAGACGCTGACAGGCAAACAGTGGGACAAAGGCACCATCAAGGGCCTGGGATGGTCCGAAGACGAGAAGCTGCTCGTCGTCACATCAGACGGCACCGTGCGCTGTTACTATGACCTCCAAGGCGACTTTGTACCCTTCACTCTCGGCCACGGCGCAGATGAATTCGGCGTCGTGTCCTGCAAATTCTACAGCACCGGCTTCGTTGCACTCCTTGCGAACAACCACCTCATATCCGTCACCTCGTACGCCGAACCACGCCCCAAGCTCCTCGCTATACCCCCCACCGAACCTGTCATATCATGGAGCATCATACCACCCGCCTACTCGCTCTCGCGGTCCGTGGAAGTCATACTGGCAATAGGCTCGACACTGTACGTGGTTGATGCGACTGAGGCTGAAGACCGCAATTTTGATGCCGGCCCGTTCAGGCATATTGCCGTCAGCCCCCGCGCGGAATTTCTCGCCTTCTACACAGAAGACGGAAAGGTGTGGGTGGTTAGCGGTGACTGGAACGAGAAGCTCAGTGAGTACGACAGCAAGATCAAGACGGTGCCAAAAGACATGGAATGGTGTGGCTCAAATGCTGTCGCGCTAGCATGGGAAGACGAGGTACATCTGATTGGACCCAGGAGTGCAGCAACCAAGTTCTACTACGATACCTGGGTACATCTCTTACCAGACGTAGACGGCATACGGCTCCTCACAAACGAAGTCTGCGAGTTCATACAAAAGGTGCCGGATGAGGCAGTGGATGTCTTCAGATTAGGTTCAGACTCGCCTGCTGCAAATCTGCTAGAGGCATCTTCATTACTCGAACAAAAGAGTCCCAAAGCCGACGACCTCATACAGTTGATACGGCCGAGTCTGGGTGAAGCTGTCGACACATGCATCAAGGCTGCAGCGCATGAATACAACATTCACTGGCAGAAGTCGCTACTGAAAGCGGCTTCGTACGGAAAGTCGGTGCTGGACTTGTATTCGTCCGATGATTTTGTCGACACGTGCGACACACTACGAGTTCTGAACGCGGTACGCTTTTATGAAGTTGGACTACCACTCAGTTACGACCAGTATCGACGTATGACGCCCGAGAAGCTTGTCGAACGTCTCACAAATCGCAGCGAATATCTTCTCGCATTGCGCATAGCCGAATACCTGCATCTCCCAGCAAACCAGATTCACGGACACTGGGCGCAGCAGAAGGTTCGTGTCTCAACGGATCCTGAAGAAGAGATCTGCAGTCTCATAGTCAAGAAACTACACGGCAAACCCGGTGTCTCATTCGAAGAAATCGCGCGGGCAGCGTATGACGAAGGTCGCGTACGACTGGCGACAGAACTGCTCAACTACGAGCCTAGAGCTGGCAAGCAGGTGCCACTATTACTCAACATGAAGGAGGACAACATTGCGCTTGACAAGGCTATCGAGTCAGGCGACACTGATCTCATCTATCACGTTCTCTTGCATCTGCGCAAGAAATTACCTCTTGCGTCCTTTTTCCGCGTCATCAATAGTCGACCTGTTGCTACAGCACTAGTAGAGTCATCAGCTTGGGACCAAGACCGCGAGTTACTAAAGGATCTCTACTACCAAGACGACAGGAGACTAGACGGCTCAAACCTCCTCCTATCCGAGGCTATCGTACAGGAAAGCCATACCGCCCAGCAAGACAAACTGAAGCTAGCATCGAAATACCTCCAAGACTCTCGCGACAGCACAGCCGTCTTCCAACGCCAAGCCATCGACGATGCCGCCAAACTCCTCCGCCTCCAAACACAATTCGAAAGCGATCTCAACGGCCCACGAGACCCAGCATCGACAGGTCCATTACCAGGTCAGACCTACATTGGGCTTTCGGCAAACGAAACGATATTCCAACTTGTCCGCCAAGGCCACTACAAGCGCGCCTCAAAAGTCGTCTCCGAGTTCAAAATCAACGACAAGACCTACACGTACATCCGTCTCCGCGCCCTCGTCGCAGCCCGGCACTGGAACGAGCTCGAAGAATTTGCAAAGCAGAAGAAAAGCCCGATTGGGTGGGAGCCGTTTTTCAACGAGATTCTTGGGGCGGGGAATACGAGGGTGGCGAGTGTGTTTATTCCAAAGTGTACGGGGTTGAGTGTGCAGGAGAGGGTGGAGATGTGGATCAAGTGTGGGCTTATGGTCAAGGCAGGGGAGGAGGCGTTCAAGGCCAAGGATAGGGAGTTGCTATGTGAGATTAGGGATAAGGCTGGGGGGAGTGCGGCGGTCGAGGTGGAGAGGTTGGTGGGTATGTTGCCGCAAGGGAAGAGGTAGGCGGGAAGTTGTATTGATTCTGCTGCGGCAGGCTCGACGCCCACCAGAACACTACCAAGTGTGTAAACGTTTGGTTACGTCGAGGGGTGGAGTTATGTATGGTTATGATTTTTTTGGACATATACAACTAAATTTTGTGTAAGATGATCATCACCGTGTGCGGACATGAAGATTGCAGTGCCTTATCGCGTTTTGACCCTCTTTGTGCCATTATACTTCCGGGGTAGTCACAGCATCTTCTTGACTGTATGGCTATGAAGACATCTTGGCGTTATGCAGCTAACAATAACAAGCCGAAGTTTAGGCGCGATGGCGAGGCTTGTGTAGTTGTCAGCACGAAGTTGACGTGATGTCTATTCGCTTGGCAGCAGGGTATAACTCACTTATACGAAATACGAAGTGCAATCAAAGATCTAGGCGATCTACTCGTGATAGCATTCCTCCTAGCCTACTCATTTCTGACCCCGAGCTTCCAAGACGTCGGGACGTGGAGGCGAGGGCTCAGCATGTATCGCGACTACTTCGGGCAATTGTACATTAGCGTCAGCCATGTGCAGCAAGATCCGCTGCGAAATAGACTCGCTTCCCCGCGTTTACTAGGGCTGCACAAGGATACTACCGGGGTCGTCTCCGCAGCCAACGATGAGATTTGTCTCTTGACGTCGTCATCTCGGTGTGTACTCTTCCGAAGAAACCGAGAAAAAAGTTGAGATCTTCAAGTCGGCAAGTAGCCATGGTAATCGAAGGGCGAAGTGGCCATGGCTTGCGATGACCGGGAAGCTGCGGCAGTCAAAGTACATAAGCCTTGAGGATAAGTGCTTGTTCAACGTTTTGTAGGATTCGCGTTTCGTGGATTCAAGCTTTACCGGATTATTGCTACAAGATGAAGGTGTCTACTACCTTGGTCAGCTTGACAGCTGCCGTGCCAGCTGCCCTCGCATCAACGCCCTACTCTCAATACATCCTCGCACCTAAATCACGAACCCTACAGCCCGTCTCCGTCCACAGCTCAAACGGCTCCGTCACCAATCCCGAGAGCCTGACTACGAGCAGCGCAAATGGAAGTTCGATTTTCACAGGCGAAGCAGCAACAGCGTACGACTTTGGTATCAACATCGCAGGTCTCGTCACCGTGACAATCGGGTCTGTAAACTCGACTTCAGAGTACATTGGCGTCACCTTCTCCGAGTCTTCATTGTGGATCAGCAATAAAAGCAGCGACGCGACCGCCGATGCAGGAAAAGACGAGACACTCTGGTTCCACGTCAATGGCACAGGACGCTACACGGCGCCCAAAGAGAAGGTTAGAGGCGCTTTCAGGTACATGACGTTGGTCCATAATGGCACGGGGAGTTTGGAGGTAACGGGAGCCGAAGTACATTACACGGCAATGCCTCACTGGGAGGATGATGCGTTGGGGAACTATACTGGATATTTCCACTGCGACGACGAATTGCTGAACCGTGTGTGGTATGCTGGTGCCTACACGAACCAGATTTGCACTATCGAACCGGACACTGGCGATGCGTTGGTGCACATCGGTGAAGAGGGGTACTCGAAGGATGACGATCAAACGCCGGTTAATGTAACGTGGTATAACAACTACACTATTACGGCTGGTAAGAGTGCGCTAGTTGATGGCGCGAAGAGGGATAGACTTGTGTGGGCTGGTGGTATGTTGATCCCCCTGTAGCGACCGCGTGGATGCTGACGAAATTACAGATATGGCTATAGCCGTTCCCGGTGTTGTGGTATCCACCAACGATGTCATCTCCATTGAGAACGCATTGGACTCGCTGTTTGCTGTCCAGAATGAGACGAATGGTCTGCTTCCATATGCTGGACGGCCATTCCCTCCTGAAGCTATATCCTTCACTTATCATTTGTACACCCTAATTGGTGTCGCCGACCACTATCTTTATACTGTGAGTACTCTGGCTGCCCTTTCCTTGTTTGGGTCCTGTTCGTACGGAGAAAATAGGAAGAAGCGTGATGCCTTGGGTTACAAGCTCCAACATTTGCTAATCAAACTACCAGGGAGACGTCGAATACCTGAAATCCCTGTGGGACAAGTACAAATTCGCCCTGTCTTTCTCGCTCGCGAACATTGACGACAGCGGCTTGATGAACGTCACCGCACCTAACGACTGGCTTCGCTTCGGTATGGGCGGTCATAATATCGAAGCAAACGCCATCCTCTACTACACCATCAACCAAGGCATCTACCTAGCCTCTGCTCTCAATGACACCGCGAACATCACCTCATGGCAGGAGACGGCAGACCGCATCAAGACAGCCGCCAACGAGCTCTTGTGGGTGCCAGAAGAAGGCATGTACCGCGACAATGAAACCACAACTCTCATGCCACAAGACGGAAACGCCTGGGCCGTAGTCGCAAACCTCACTCTAAACAGCACACAAACTGAGCAAATCTCCTCCAACCTAGTCGCCCGATGGACACCCTACGGTGCACCTGCTCCAGAAGCCGCAGATGCCATTTCACCCTTTATTTCAGGATTTGAACTGCAATCCCACTTCCTCGCACAAAACACCACAGCTGCGCTAGCATTAATGCGTCTTCAATGGGGTTTCATGCTCGACGACCCGCGTATGACGAATTCTACCTTCATCGAGGGATACAGTACAACTGGAGAACTACACTACGCACCCTACGTCAACGACGCGCGAATCAGCCACGCGCATGGATGGGCGACAGGTCCTACTTCCAGCCTAACACAATACGTCGCTGGCGTGCAATTGCTAACTGCTGGTGGAGCGACGTGGCGTGTTGCGCCTTCGCTGGGTGATCTCAAATTTGCGGATGCAGGATTCAGCACGAATTTGGGCTTCTTTGGCGCAAGGACGCAGGTTTGGGCGAATAACACTGTGATGTTGGAGTTTGAGGCGCCGGAGGGGACTATGGGAGAGGTGCATGTGCCGGTGCTTGATTGTGCTGGACGGGTTGTTATGAGTGGTAGTGCCGGGTTGAGTGGGGATGTTGTTGTAGAGACGATGCAAGGACAGGGAAGTGTAGTGGTGATGGATGTCAGGGGTGGGAGGTGGACGGCTACGTTTAGATGTTCGGAGTAAGTCGTAGTAGTCGGACGAATATGTATGAATCCCATTGGTCAAATTGCTCGTGATACCAGACTTCTGAAGCTAATGCTGACGACTACGTTAGTGCCGTTGTAGACTACAGGGTAGAATGTTCACCCAGGGCATGTCGCTACCGTGGAGTCGACCCACATGTATGGCGATAAGAAATACTACACCCTGCAGTTGGATCTTGCGATGGAGGACCAACAATGTTTACGTCCACAGAAGGTTCAGAATCTTTGGATCGTTGACGTGAAAGTACCGCGGTACCATGTATGCCGGCACGGAACAGACTCCGTGAACACGAGATGTTTGCTTCTTGGACGGCTGGCAGCCATGTAGAAAAACCGGTACAAAAAGCCTGTAGAGTACACGGATTACGTTAGGTTGCACGCGCCTATAGTAGGTCGACACAGCAACGGCTATGGAAAAGAAATCTCATCTGCCGCTTCCGAGCTTAATGCAAGATGCTTTTCTGGGTCCGGGCCATGAGCGGATAACAAACAGGGAAATGCTCGGCCCACTACCAGAATACTTGACGATGGATTCGGATGTGATATTGGATGGAGTAAGCCGGAGAGGAGCCCGCAGTGCACTGGACATGTTTCTTCAAGATGACGGTCTTTTTGACAAAGTCTAAAAAGCGATGAGGCGACCAGGCAACGAGGCACGAGGCATCGAGTAGAGGCGTAGTCTAGTCAGCGTATAGCACGGGTACAATCAGCTGGGGACAATCAGCAAGTAGTGGCAGACATGGACGATGTTGACATGCAAGATGCCAGTATGATCCATGTCGTCGAGCCATGTCGCCGCCTACCCCGCGGCTCTGAGTGGCGGAGGGCGATCGTGTGAAACGAGGCGTTCTCGTGATGGCGCGCTATACAGACGCGCCCGGGACGTCGCCGTGCCAACGGCTTGCTTGGCGCACTGTTCCAAAATAGTGTCGCGCAAACCACTATGACCACCCGCTTGCACTCTGATCTGCGCCCCATCCCCAGCAATTGCATCACTTTCGTCTTGTGTATACACATTGCGAAGAATTGCTTACTGCATTGCCTCTGGCATACAAGTAGAGTGCGCGCTGTTTTAAGCCATTACCCTCGTTTACACGCCCTTCTCCTCTTGCTCTGCTGGCCGCTTCCCCACCACTACTCTCGCCTATCCACTACCACGTCACTATCACACCGCATCTGAGACCTCGAGTAAAGTTTACACGCCCCACTGGAAGCGGATACATTGCATGCGCGTTTGAGCATCGCATCTCGCCGGCGGGACGCAGCCACCATGGACACGAGCTACCTCGCCCAGCAGGTCACAACCATCATCGGCCAGCTGCACGGCTTGTTTGATGATATTGGTGTCCCCAGCCATGAGCGCGATTCGCGCGAAGCAGAGGTGAGTCGCGGTCGGGTCTCGTATATGCGCACCATGGCTGACTCTGTATAGTTGTTCTCGGCCCTGTCCGAGACGCTCCACAGCCAATTGCGACAAGTCACCAACGAGAAGCATGAGATGACTGAAGAGGCGCATCGCCTGCTCACGACCATCAGGCAGATGGAGGCGTCGCTGGAGGACAACAAGCCCAACCCCAACTACGAGGAGCACGACGACAAGGCCATCACCTTCCCCCTGACGCGCTGCCTCAAGGACCTGAAGGAGCGATACAGCTCAGTCAGCAAGGTGCACAAGGAGCGCTTTGAGCAAGTTCGGAAACTCGCCGAAGCCCTCGAATCGTATGCGTCGCATCTAGAACCCTCTTTCGTCAAGATCAAACTCCCGCCCACCGCGCCCAACGCTACCGTTTCGCCCTCCTTCGATATCTCGCCCTCCTACGTTGCTAAGCTAGACAACGAGTTCACGCGCGTATACGAGGAATACACCAGGCGCATAGACACAGTCAAGACCATTTGCCAGGAGATTATCCAGCTGTGGGCTGAACTCGGCACGCCACAAGCGCAAACTGACAGCGCAATTGTACAGTGTCATCGCGACGCGCCTGAACAACTTGGCCTACACAAGGACGATCTCGCGCAACTGAAGGCGAAGAAGGAGCGACTCATCGAGGAGAAGCGCGGTCGCGAACGACGATTGGGGCAGCTGCGCACAACCATTGAGGAACTCTGGGATCGCCTGGGTGTTGAAGAGCGCGAGCGCAAGCAGTTCCTCACTAGCAACCGCGGATGTGGACTGCGCACCATCAACGAGTATGAGGACGAGCTAGCCAGGCTGAATGAGTTGAAGCGCCAGAACCTACACTTGTTTGTGGAGGAGGCGCGTGTGCAGCTCCAAGAACTCTGGGATGCGCTCTACTTCTCAGAAGAAGAGATGCTCGACTTCACGCCCGCCTTCTCCGATGTATGTAGTGACGCCCTGCTCGCCGCACACGAATCTGAGATCGCACGTCTTGAAGCGCTTAAGGAGCAGCGATTGCCAATACTACAGAAGATTGACCGCCATCGCGAGCTGATCCAGGAGCGCGATGAGCTCCAGCAATCCAGTCAGGATGCGACCCGTTTAATGGCGCGTGGAAACAAGGGCGAGAGGCGCGACCCAGGCAAGCTCCTGCGCGAAGAGAAGATGCGAAAGCGCATCGCAAAGGAGCTTCCCAGGATTGAAACCGTAAGATTACATGGATGAGCAACGAGAACTAGGCTAACATATCACAGGACTTGAGAGTCACACTTGAAAGCTGGGAAGACGAATACGGACGCCCTTTCCTGGTCCACGGCCAACGATACCTCGACGAACTCTACGCTGCTGCACAAAAAGCAGCCCCACCACCTCGCGCAAAGACACCCTCCAACAGCGGCATGCCTACCAAACCCGCAACTGTTGGGAGGTCCTCACAAGCACCTAGTCGTGCCGGAACAGTCCGTGGTGGTGCACCACCAAGCAGATCGAAAACTCCTGTGTCAAACTTCGGGCAAAGCGTATCCGCTGCAAGCATGTCGCGTAACAACTTTGCTCAGTCTGTCGGTCCATCGCAATTTGGTGCTTCGGTGTCGGCGGCATCTGCGCAAAAGAGTCCTTCCAAGATTCCTTCTCGTACTGGCATGAATGGCACAATGAACGGCAGGATGTCACCAGAGAAACGGCCACAGCTGTCGCGGGAAGACTCTGCAACAATGCGGAAGATGGCGCCACCCATGGCTCCTCCTCCACGCATGAAGGATCTGTTCGTACCGCCAGAGCCCTCACCCGTGGAGACACCAATGAACCGTTTCGAATTCAACCGTGGAGAGCGCAGCGAGAGCATCGTGCGCCAAGTGGCACCAGAAGATCCCTACGATGACCGATCGTACTTGGGCCGTACCATGCGCGGAGGCTACACACCTACATATGCACCGCCATCACTATCCTCCGCCAGCAGTAGACAAATATCGCAAACCTCGTCCACTGGCACTGCCGCTACCGGCATGACCATGCAGTCCGGCTCAGAGAACTGGGAAACGTTTAGTGAACAATCCGATGAGATGCCAGAGGAGGAAGTAGACTTCCACGCCTACAGGCGGCAGATGAAGCGCTACACACCCGACGGAGGCCATGGTGTAGCCAGCCCCGGTCGCATACAAGGCAAGAAAGTCCGCGGCATACGCAGCGTCGACCAGCACGAGCTCCTGACAGAGCAAGACGGTCGCATGGTACGGGTTATCGAAGGCTCAGAAGCGGGCTGGACGACCGACGGCGACGACAGGTACTGAGGAAACTCTTTCCCGTCGTAGCGACAAACTCCACTTGGACCCTTCTCTCTCTCTCATGTCGACATGACTGCATGCATTTTCATGCGATTCACGACGCTTATTACCGCTACGGCCGCTTTGACCTTGAGCTCGTTCATGCTTCAGCCTTGCAGTTACCTCTTCCTTGTAATCGTGTGCATTTCTGGCGGCTCAATTCGGCGTTAAAAGGACCCTGAAAATTTTCACTTCGACTCATCCTCGCAGCCGTTACCAAGCAGACGCACAAGCGGGACGGGGATATTCGCCACGTAGGGATGTCGCTGCATGTCACTCCCTCTCCCGCAATGCCACCGGCGACGGTGCTGCGCCCGTTCGGGTAACGCGAGGATGTGTACCTGCCCAGGTGGCACCCTCTTTATTGCATTTTCTTCGTATCACTTGCTTCCTTTTCAGCGGTAGGGTTGCGTATCATTGGCGTTGGTTGGTGTAGGATTGCAACCTCGGAAGCGTATATCTGGGATAGCGCGCCATGCGCTCCCTGCCCTTGTATAATTTGTTTGCGTTGTCAAATTTTTTCCTGTGCGAGGATGAAGCGAGAGATGGTGCATACGGCCCGCCTGAAATGAGTGGAAGGCAGATCTCTGTGTGTGTGTTGGCGGGGAGACGTGTACTATTACGATTGAACAGAATCCAGAACCTCCAAAAACCATGTGTAAGCAACTGTGACTCGAGGAATAATGATGAACATGAAACAAATGCAGTCGCACGCAGTGGGTAGGATGCCGAGAGCCAAGAAAGAGCTTCTTCCGTGCGACAGACCAGATTTCGTTCCTTCCTCTTTTGCGAGGGGAGTAACCGTGCGACAGAATGTACTCCGTTCCTTCCTGTTTTGCACAAGAGATCCCGTAGGCTCGATGAAGCAGGTGCAGTTGCTATGACTGTGCCCTATTATGCAAGGCCGTTGGGAGCCTCAACTCTTTGGATTTGGACTAATTCCCATACCGAACACGTGCCCTCTGCTCCATGGAAAGTTGCAAGCCTGTCGCGCCGGCGGTATTATGACGATTGCCAAAAGGCGCCGGTATCTCGAGTGGGAATAAAGTTTCCCTCTCCACTCCACACGACACCATCTTTTCTCTGGAGCAGGATGGGCGGGCATGCACCCCGCAGGACCGATGCGGTGCTAGCGTGCGAGACGGCGCGAACCTGCAAGACAGAAGTTACATGCGTTGAAGCGAGATATTGGCAAGAGATAAGGATAGCATATCTGACAGGCCCGGAGCGATTCCCACCCAAGCCAACCATGACCGGAAGGCAACGCGGTCTTACCGCGCATCGCGCTCTGCATGCATGGGATGCAAGCCACGTACAGTCATGGTTTGATATCTAGGCAAATCAAAGGGTCATGGTGACGGTATTGGGGTTAGTGCGGAATGCGCATGTCAAAGTGAATACTAAGACGATGACTTGAAGATGGTGGTATGAGGTGACTCGACTCCGTGTGATGGGAATGTCTCAGAGAGCTTCCGGCTTCCACCTTCCAGAAGGCAGGCCGGCGTGGGGCGACAGGGCTGAGGGCGGAGGTGGCGGCTAAGGCCAATCAGGGGATGCCCGTAGGCGATCACTTTTGTCGAGTGCTGTGCATGCGGGACCGACCGGGGCTGAAAGAGGCGGCATGTCTGGTAATGTCTGCCTGCCTCGTGTGAAGCGTGATCAGCGCAGCGTAGGCGTGGCGGTGGCAGAAGGACACGCAGTCTTATCCTCAGCCGCCAGAATCTGGTCCGAGAAAAGTGCCTGGATGGATGCTCTGTGCTTTGGTGTCCCGAGGTTTGATAGGGAGCATGGTGCACTCCCACGCGACGCCTGTCCTTTATTACTTACTTATCGCTGCCCGATAACCCTGAGACCCCAACGTCGTCATCCCTCCCTTATCACCACTATCACCACCGAGGTACTGCCATTGTACTTACTTGTCCAACGTCCTCAAATATACTCACTTCCTTTTCTTTCTCCATCTCGTGTGCGACAGTGCGTCGGCGATCTTCGGCACACGCATACCCTGTAGTCTGATGTTGCCCTTGCAGCACCATCCAATCGCCAACCAGCAATAACGTAAAGAAATCCGACGGCCGCACGTCACATCCAGCCTAGCCAGCACCAGCCGTACCTGGATCGACCCAAGCTGTTAGTCACGGGGGAAACGCCTTCAGGGCCCAAGCCAACGATAATGATGTACTCGCCAAGGTCCTTTCCTTACCTCCAGTCATCTCCACCACGCAGTGCAAGATCAAAGTCCGAGAAGATGGGCACGCGAGCGCGAGCCAGTCCTTCACCGAGAAGTGTCATGCCTGTCACAGTGGAAACCAACACGCAATCTATGAATAAGAACATGTCGATCTCGAATATCGAAGCCGCTACCACCCAACCTGTCGTCATCCCGCCTCGAACACCTCTCAAGTCAGCAACTTCGACACAGACTGTGAGAATGAGAGGACAGAATGGAGGCAGGCCTGCACGCAACTCGCAGAGCCATGATGCCAAAGCCCTACCACCGGCCGTTGCAGCCTTGCTAGCCGTTACCGCCATTCCCAAGATGCCTACCCGGCGACGACCACGTACTACAACCGACAGGAGGATATCCATGGACGAGTTGATACAGGAGTGGAAGCAGGACGATCCCGACACTCCGCCTTCACTTGTCGGCTCGCCCATGGACCTGCTACTTGGTCGCGTGGATGAATCCGACGATGAGTATAACAGCGTCTTGAGCATGGAGCACGAGAAGGGCTCTTTCCTGACCTCAAGATCCATCTCGAGCGACTCAATATCCACTATGCCGCCTTCTTTGGATTTCGAGGACCCGTCGTTCGCATCACATTGGGATAACCTCAGTACGCCAGATTCGCTTGGCAGGAAGTCACTGCCTGAGCGCCGAGAGAAGGTTGTCTCATCACCACCTAAAGAAGACTGCATATTGGACCACCCGCTACTACATTTTGGTCCCGATGAATGCGAAGACATCGTCTCGACAAGCATTAGCGAACCCGTCACTCCGGTGTCTTCGAACGAGCGGTTCCGGTCATTCAAGTCGAACTTGACTGCATCACTTCAAGCGCTCAAGTCCGCTGCGAAATCATTTTCCAACTTCACAGCTCCCAGTGTTCCGCCAGATGATTTCCTTACTCGGTCGTTGCTGGCACCCAACTACACAAGCGAGATGCGACCAAAACATGTCGAAGGTCTACCGTCACCAGAACTACGACGATACCTCAACCCACAGCCTGCGCCAATCTCAGCGACTGAGTTGTCAATGCATCTCCACGACTCCCTCACTCTCGATGCCGACGCCGAACCCCACGCGCCGATGATCCAAATGCAGACTTACGAACGCCGAGGTCGATCGCAAAAGTCGCGCCGGAGTCGCGCCACGGATCCCTTTTCCGAAGCAGGACGAGTCCTTTCCAACGACGCACCTACCGTCCGGCAGCGCGAGCCTCGCGAGAACAGCGACTTTCTGCGTGTCATTGTGCTCGAAATGAACATGCGCCGCGTGGGCAAACTCGACACAAAGGCCGTCGGCAAGGCACGTATTTGGTTACCGCCAAGAAAGCCCGGGTCTAGCAAGGCACCTTCCGTTCACAGCCCAAGCGGTGTGCCGCTTAGATGGACTCCTGTTGCCGTGTAAATGCACCATGGTTAGAGAATTCCCATCAGGCCGTAGCAGCGGCATTCGGCTGCGTCAACAACTTCCAAGGTTGGGCATGCACGCAGGTCTTGGTACGGTACCCTCGATACGTTCACACGACAACGACACGACACGACACGAACCGAGACGAGCTGCATGCATGTGCGTGTCGCGAAAAGCTCCACCTACGTAGCGCATCGCAATGCACGAAATTCGATCCTTGGTCATTGGTGGGCGCATTGGCGAAGTCGATCCCGGGTTCAGATTCTCCGAGGATCGCATCACCTGCCGCGGTATAGTGCACGAGCGGACCGGGTTCTAGTGGAGCCTCCGATTCCGCGCCATCGAGCAAGAATTCCTAGTCTTGGTATAGGGTCACGTCACGGCTGCACCGTTAGAGTGGGTGGAGGATCTGGCGGAGACATTGACATGGGTCTTTGCACGTGCTGCCGCATCCTTTGCGCACAACGTCAGGTCAGGAGAGTCAGAGAGCAGGTTTGTCGCAGGAAGGTTGGCCGCGCGAGCTCGCTCGGCGATACGCACGTTTCGGTGGTTCATCGGGAACGCGTGACCTCGACACACGACACGGCACACGACACACACGTCGCGGATAAACGTCACAGTCGCATGCTTCCATCCGTTGTGTTGCGCAACGGTCGATACCCACCCGCCATCCGGTGAATACTTGTTTACCGGTCGCTACACTCGCTTCGCGCAAAAAAAGCTGGGGACATGCTTTCACGATGCCAACTTTGGTATTTTCCAAGGCACACCCCACTCGGCAGTTCCACAATGCCGGGTCTCGCCGACGCTTACAGACAGTGCTGAGTGTGCGCGCAACAGTGGGGGTACGACGGGAAATTCGTGTTACACGTTTATATCGAGCAAGAATGCCTTCGGGTTGGATAGGACTGGACAGCACTGGTTCCGAGCGCCCACGAGACATTTCCGAGGCGGGTACCCTTCATCTCAATTTTTTTCTCATCGTTTTTTCTTCCGTACCGTGGTATGATTTTACGCGTATTAGCGGAGAGAGAGAGAGCGGGAGTCAGCACTTTTGCACTTTTTTTTTCCTTCTCGCTTTCCCAACTCACATATTCGCTCTTGACAGTTTTTCAAGCATTAGCATGGGTCGGCGCATGGGTTATTGGCGTTTTGTGTGCAACGGAGAGCATAGGACGGTCAAGCGCTGACCGCTACACTTTTTTTTTCATGTCGTCAATTGGTGCATTTTTTGGAGCGACGAAAAGGCATTCTTTTCCGCATCGCACGCGTACTGTTACACAATTTGCATCGTATCGCATGGTTGAAGCGATCTAGATTGCCAGACTTCACAGTCGCATTTTCTCGGCATATTCACAGCATTTGCTTCTCGAAGGCGCATATATATTAGAAACAATCAGCACATGACAAAACAATTCAAAATATTAAATAGATAAACGTCGGCTTCCACATTGCGGTGATGTGATTGCGCGGTATGGGTATGTTGACATAGTATGTATATCTTTATACTAGAGTCTATCTTCATGTATGCTGCATTTTCTATAAACTCCACTATCTTGAATACAGCTAACAAGCTTTTCCCTGGTTGTGCGCAATGCGATAATACGGTTTAAAAGCATACACTATTTCATACCTTATTGTGCAGCGATGTGGAATTTCGGTGAGAGCAATACTAGGATACATGATGAAACGAATTCATTGTCGTGGGTATACACCTAGCATATACGGTAGATACGCCTTTGGGTTATGACCTGAACAGTGAATATTTCCAGAGTTTTAGCCTTTCTTTCCATTGCTCGTTACCATAATATTGATTTGGTCTAATCGGAGTTCAAAGTTCGGGTTAAGCATGTCTCGTGCTCTATGTGTTGTGGCATACTGGACTGAGTGGTTGAGGAAACTTGGACGTCGACTTGTCCATATTGAGGTGGGTATCTGGGTGCCTGTGAGGGTGGTAGCTAGAAGACTAGGAGATTCTGTGCTCGTTGTACTGTTGTCTGGGCTAGATAGGACGTTATTGTGTGTGAATCTATTTGAGTATAGGTGAGAGAGCATGAATATGCAAAGATACTTGTACCCAGAGTCATCTCCTCGAGTAGATTCGCAAATATCGGGTTTTTAGCTGTCGGTGTTCTAGTCGTTACAAATGCAAAACTTTCTCGCATTGTATGTTTTGTATGTTATCAAGACCACAACGAAGTAAGTTACACTACATACAGTTTTCCTTATATATAGGCAAGCGGATTATTCCGCGACAAAAAAGAAGGTAGTTTGGCGATACTAAAGAAGACAGCAAATACGTGCTTAGTATTGTGTATCGTCTTAGTCAATACCGTAGCGAATTTGGTAGTACAAAATTGAAAGTGGCGTGGTGGGAAGCAAAATGAAAGTTACAGCGTATGATCTACCTCAGATTGCATCGAGACAGCAAAAAGAAGAGGTGTTGTATGACCTAACCAGGGGTCTGAATGAATGTTAGAATGTTGAATCGAACTCGGAGTTGAGTTGTGTGAACTTACCGAACCTGGAATCTCTTGATATCGAACTGAATCGTAGTCAAGCGCCTTGCCATTGGGCCATTAGGCCAGTTGTACTGGTTGTTGATGGAAGGACACAAAATTGTTGAAATAATATCCTCAAATTTTTTTTACAGCTCACTGCAGTTGGCAGTGGGAAATCCGACTATCTGTGACGAAAATCTGTGTGTGGTGGGGCATAGAGCAGCCACACAAAGGAAGCAGGCCAGGCGGGGTATAGCCACAACCAGAATTTTGTCTGCCGATCGGCTGCCGACATAACACCACACGCCGCGATCATGAGTGGCCGTAATCAACAGTCAATTGTAAGACTTTCCCCTCTAGGTAATGGTCAGATGCCGTAGTTATGCATGACTGCGATCGATGGTACGTGTGCGATAGTTTCCTTTCTCGGTAATCGTTGTTCTGTCCGAGACGCTTGGTTGTGAAGGAAGGTTATGCTCCAAAAGCAAAGGGTGTTTGCCCGCCGCCAGTCGTCGCGCGCGCAGGCGCGCAGACGATCTGCACCTCTGCCACTCCAACTCAACTGAGCCTACACTTAGTGCATCATCGCATCTATGTCTTCTATCCGGAGCAATATGCATGAGTCTAGCAAGAGGTAACGTATGAGGTACAGCGAGCGCGACAACGGCATTCATTACATTGTCTTCATACAAGCACTATGTCCTCGTAGATACCTTTGTCATCAAACATGTGCTTGCGTTGTTGCCATGACAGATCAGAAATAAACACCCTGTACATGTACCGATATCCACGTCCACTACGCCGAAGACCCAGGGCCCAGCGACACTCAGGAATGATATACAGCCTGTCACTGGACTGCCAGGAAGGTGGCGAATTTTCATCTTCGAATATGTGCCCTACTATTTTCGATCCAACAACAAGATGGCGACTATGCTCGAAGAAGCTGCTCAGTTTTGCAATCGAAGAGGGACTCGGAACTTTGGGGTTTGCTTGGGGAATAGAAACTTTGCTGCTGCGTCGTTGAACTTTTTTTTTCTTTGACTTTCTTTTGCTCCTAAGGAACTCTTCCAATGTCGCGCTGTGTTCAGATGAACATGGACCTTCCCCTGTGTCATTGCCCCAAAAGTTAAGACAAAGATAGTTTCGGAACCCTCGGATATGGGTTTTCGTTTGAGCATGAGGTATATCCATACGCCTCAGAGCTCTCCGAATTTGCTCCTCCACCCCAAGAATCGCTTCGCGCAGCACATCTGTGTCCTCTCTTTCTGGCACTGGAAAAAGTTTCAACGTCGTAATCACTCGTCCAAGCACCAGCGCATCATGTATCTTGATTTCCGTACATCTCACGTCTATGTCATGAACACTTTTTGGTATTCCCCATTTTTGTTGGTACTCTGCAGTGCATCGAGCACAAATCGATATGTTTGACGACTTGTGCCATGTTTTCCCCATTGAGACACCTTGGGCAAGTATATCATACCTACTTTCTGGTGCTCCATAGGTTTTGTTCTCTCCACTCCATTTTTTGGATTTCCACATCGGAACCCAGGATGGTATCCCCTCGATGTTGTTAGGCCCACTTTCCAAAATCCGTAGAGGGTACGATTGAGGTCGAGCGTCAAAGAGGATCCAAATAGCAATCCGATGAAAAAATGTATAGTGGTCTCTCGGATTATGCTCATCTCTCGTTATAAAGTTCATAAGGAAAAGGATGTTATCATGACAATCACCCATACGTATAAAACCATCCACGCCGTATATCCTATCTTGAGGTTCGGTTACCTCAAAATTGCCACTCATACAGCTCAGATACGTGAGTACACGGCTCGCACACGATGTTTCGGACGGTACATAATCCGCGTGGAACATGCCATGGACAAGGAGGGATATCTGGGTTCGGGAAAGTATTGATGGCGCATCTCGAAACATGCAATGTTTGGTCATTCTCAGGAATTTGCGGTATCTGACTTGCATGTTGCCACATTGCATGATTGGGTCCTCTTTTGGAAGTGTGGCTTCCTGGATAACCCACACACGTCGCCACCAGGGTTGCATAGCTATGATCTGTATTCCGAGAACTTGTAGTTCATTCGGGAATCGTTCATTGTTCGCTTCCTGGCCGAGCGGGCGGTCTTCGTCCATAACGTAGTTCTTGGCTGCAAGTAGGGCCATCTCGATATCTCTTCTTTCATAACTCAAGACGAATTCTGTATCTTCTTCGATTACCTCCTGTGCTTCTGTGAGAGAACCTAGCCAGATCCGTACCTCCACGGCATTTTTGTACACATCGCCCATCGATTGTACTTGTGAAAGTTTCTCCCCCTCATCAGACTGGTTGATACAAATAGCATCGACCCAAAGGATGCGCCCTGAAGCGCGGTCTCGTAGGTGTCGTAATGCTTTCTCCAGGTTTGTCGTAACTTGAAATAGTTTGTAGCAACATGCCCCTGGAGCTGAAGCAGACGGCCGTGTATCAGCAGTTCCACTCGTTGGAATTTGATGGTAACCAAGTTGAATGGGTTTTGTGTGTTTAGCATCACCCCATACGTATGACAATGCAGTATATTCTGTTTGAGGCAGCTTTTCCAGGATATTGGCATGGTAAATCGTACAATATACCACGTCATCGAAGCCACCTGGATGTAGGTATATGAGTCGAACCTCGAATCCATGAGGGGAAGAGATGAATTTATTAGAGCGAGACTTGGCAAGCGGTTGGTATGAGAAAGCGTGCTGTGGGCTGCTCATTTTCTTGGTCAAGCGAGTGACAATACCAGCAGAAAAGTTGTGAGAGGCTGGCGAGTGTCACAAGGCTACCTTTGAGTTTTTGATAACAAAACCGGTGAACCTGGGTGGCGGAGTACGACTCGTCCAATCATCTTCATACATCTGCATTGTTCGCCTCACTTGATAAACTTGGCGTCTATCATCGTAGACAGGATGCATGCCAACAACTGAGATGGCTGCTCAGGGTACGCGACTGCGCTCAGCAGCGCAGGTCTCAGAGTTACTTGAACAGGAAGCCGTCTTGTGCGGCGGGGCAGTCTGATCCGTTCCACGATAGTCCAAAGCGACGTTTTACCCCAATTGTCCTAGCCGTGCACCAGTCGCAGATCGCTAGCTTATTGAAGCCTGGTGCTGGAGCTGGTTCAAGCCAGCCAATCAGCATTATTGCAATTTATCTGCAGTTGTTCATCTCTTCACGTGCTGTAATCAACACTTTTTATAGAAACTGCCCGAATAGGTAGTCATTACGTACGTGGGTCGGCAGGCTGCATCTGCACCCCTGCGTTCGCGATTCTTTGCTTTCAGCCGTGATCAACAGCCTCTTTTGTAGGTTGCCTATCCAGGAAGTGAAGCTGGTGGGACTAGTGCTTTCTCGATATCGAGGATGTCGCTATGCCTATTTTTATGCTCGCGCTCGACTCGCTGATTCGATCGCGATTATTTTGAATAGGATAAATGTCATTGTATTCATAATGTCCTGGACACGAAGTTATCCAGCTAAGCACTGATACCTGTCGCATACAAGTATCGCATCACGATGAAGAGCCTGGGCTCGCTTTGTATCAACGATACATGCGTAGTGCAGTGTCCGTTCTGATGTCGAAGTGGTTGGAGTGGCCGTCACGTGCAAGCCCACCAAGTCCACCACGGATGGGATATGGCTTCTACAATTTAGATATAACAGATATGTGCCAGGTCCAGCGGCAACAGAATAATTGTGACGCGCAATTCACACCACCACAGAAAAGTACTCTAAAGGTGCACACGAACTTTTGACCATCATTATTAATTAACAAACCACCGCAAATGCCCCTAGGCCTATTAACCCCAGCTATGCATAACTAGCCCACCCCATGTACAGCACAGCCAGATTCTTCTCATCAGTAGCCTGCTGAATGAGCTCATTCACCGTCGCCTTGGTACTCAGCGTCTTGCTCAACTTCTTCTCCACTACACTCAACGCTCTGCCAGCCTCACCAGCCTGCTCTTCCTTCTCCCTCTTCTTGTTGCTCTCATGCGCCGTACCCGCTGCCGTTTCCTCCTGGCCCGACGGCGCAGGCGTACCTCCTGGCGCGACAGTCGTTGAGCGAGCCGTGCCATTCGCACCGGCAGTTTCTTGATTGGCTTCTTGCATGCGCTTCGCCTTCGTAGGCGTAACGCTCCAGTTGACGAGGGGATCGTATCGCAGGACGTTGAGTAGCGTCATGATGGATTCTCGTTCCTCGCGTAATGTGTCCATGGTGAACTCGCAGCAGCGACGGAACACACCCTCCGTCTTCGTATAGCCCATACCGTCCACCAGGTCCCGGGTGAGTCGGAACGGCACGACTTCCGGCACCGGTAAGACACGACCGGCTTCGAAGCTCACGCCAAGATCAATGTGCACTACTTCACCCGTCTTTTCGTCAAGGAGGATATTATGACAATGCCGGTCGCCTAAGCCGAGAACGTGGCCAAGGATGGATATGGCGGCTGTGGATCGCGTGTAGGCTAGACGCCGCTCAAACCATTCGTCTGGATCCTCGAAGCGTTCGAGCAGGAAGTAGCGCATAACAGGGTGAAAGTTATCTGCTATCTTCTGCCACACTTTCACACGCGTTGTGAGTGAGTCTTGTTGGCATGCGCCGATTTCTTTGCGACACTTCTCTGGCTTGTAGTCACTTGGATAGTACTTCTCGTGAGCTGGCATGACCCAGAGGTGCAGTGGGACAGTGTTCTGGACGAACTCCATGAGACCAGAACGCGTCGAGAGCGGCAAGACTTTGTATGTACGAATGCCGAGGTTGCGTATGCGCGTTGCGGTATGATTCTTTAGTAAGCGTGATACTTGGTCGAAAACTTGCTCCATGATGGCATCTTGACGGAGGTCGTCGTTTCCAGATTTGAACTAAAATGATCAGCATACACGCTTTATTCATGAACCATTTTCGTTGCTTACCAGTTGTTTGTACGGTCTGCCATCAGTGCCCTTAGCAGTAATGACTTTCGGCGCACTAAGTCCATTCGCGATCGTCATAGTCGACTTGAAGCCTGCGATTCTTGGTAGATCGCTGTAATTCATGTTGGGTCGAACTTCGATCTGAAGCGTGGCAGGTGGAACATTGAGCTTTGGTACCTTGCTCACTAAGTCCCGTGATTCTTTGTACCGATCGAGCGGCAGCTCCCGGCCTTGTTGAGTGCTTTCTTTCTCGCCTTTGAACATCGCAAGATGGTGATATACTTCGTTAGACTGGAAGATTGAGCTCCAATACGAGCGGCCTCTCTTGTCAGTGCTGAGCGCTGTTGCAAGCCCACCTGCAGCCTTTTGACGAGATTTCGCGGATTCATCTTTGGCTCGGACGACATCTTCTCTAGAGGTAGCGGCTACCTTCATCTACCTTGTTGTTAGCGCAAGGTACGCTGGCAGATCTGCCTACCACGAGAGCAGGAAGGTGGTAGACCCTGCCTTAGAGCTGCTTGTATAGACATTTGAACATGGCAAAACTTACCTGAATGGCGAAAATCTGGTGCATACCATGAAATGGGTGATCGACACATATACGGAAGACTAGCTCCATTAACAAGTGCTGAAAGTCGTTCTCCTCAGCTTGTAAACGTGACGACAGCTGGTTCATCAACAACGCAAACTTCCCGCTAGGCACATCTTTAAGATATGCCTTGACAGCTTGGTTCGCTAGTGGAGTGTCAGAGTACTCCAGCCACAAGGAGAACACCCTGAGCGCATCGTGGTTGTATTCGTCACTAGCGAGAAGGGAAAGCAAGTAGTTCTCAAGACATTGGCGTAAGAACTGCTCGCGACCTTTGCGCATCCTTTCGTATTCCGCATTGTCGAGATCGTACCAGGTCTTGGCGCGACGAGCGTTTCGATGGTAAGTCTCACGCATCCCTTTACTCTTGTCGGTCTTGGATAGCTTGGCAAAGTCGTGGTACTCTTGCAGCTTTCTGTCCATCACTGTCTTGATGCGGTTCATGTCTTCGGCGGCTTCGGGGCTCTGTAGTTGCTTGTCGCAGAACAGAGCAAACTCGTGGAAAACCTGACCCGGGCCTAAGCCCTCCTTTTGGCCTTTCAATTCGCGGATCGCTGGTTGCAGATACTCCTCCATGATCGCGTCCGGTTTGGCGAGGCGCGCTTCAGCAAGGTGGTGACCCTAAATTCATTAGTAAAAAGAAACACTAGGAACTTT